CTATAGTGCGGTGCCCAGAACTGAGGCAGTATTCTAACTGAGGCCTAACCAGTGTTTATATGGGTTAATCATAACCTCCTGACTCTGGTACTCTATGCCCCTATTTACAAAGCCCATATGCCCTTTTTACAGCGTTATCTTCAAGGATTCAGTTACCTGCCCCCCCAGGTCTCTCTGTTCTTTTAACCCCTTAAGATTGTATTACCGCCTATATTGCCCCTCATTCTTTCTACCAAAATGCATTACCTGCATTTCTCCACATTGAAACTCGTCTGCCATGTGTCGCCCATTTTACCATTCTGTCTATGTCTTCCCGCAGTTGGCTGCTATCCTTCTCACTGTTTACTTCCCTACCTAACTTTGTGTCGTGCTCAAGTTATTGTTCAAATTTATTTTGAAGGAATTATTAAGCCCGGAAAGCGATCCGCCAATCGACTAACAACCGAGTTCCTACTTTCTACTGGTAAACAGAGGAGTTTGCAGTGAGGAAACTTGCCCAACTCAGAACCTCTCGCTTGCGAGGCGAGTGCTGTAACCACTGAGCTACAGGACTGCACTAAATTGTATATCTGCCCAAGTCCTGTTCAAAAGTTTAGATTCTATGCAAGTTTCACATAACTCATACTTTGCATAAGTCACACAGGATCCCAACTGATAACGTGTGATGTGAAGTTTACTGTAATAAGTTTAAGCAACTCTGAGACTCTTCCCACATGAAGGGCAGTGTATAACTACAAGTTGTTTGATGTGTGTCTGACACCCGTCTGGTCACGGTGACGGGTTTCTACGTGTATCTCCCAAAGACCTACAAGAAGTTCTTTTTGTGTGTGTTTTACAGCAGGACCCACCGCGCCCCATCCACCCAGCGCCCCTCCCCGAGGCCCAGCCCCCCCAGCGGTTACCCCCAGAGGCAGCAAGCACCGCTCTCCCACAGAAGCCCCATCTGAAGCTGGCGCGAGTGCAGAGCCAGAACGGGATTGTGCTGTCCTGGAGTGTGCTGGAGGCAGACCGCAACTGTGCTCCCGTCGACAGTTACCATCTCTACGCTTACCACGAAGACCCGGCAACCACCAGTGTGTCCCAGTGGAAGAAGATTGGGGAAGTGAAAGCCTTGCCCCTGCCCATGGCCTGCACCCTCACACAGTTTGTGTCCGGCAGCAAGTACTACTTCGCCGTCAGGGCCAAGGACCTTTACGGACGCTATGGACCTTTCTGCGACCCGCAGTCGACAGACGTGATGTCAACTCAAGGGAATTAACTAACGAACCCAGGATGATGGATTTTACCACAGAAACCCGAGCAAAGACGTTCTCACATACACACACAACAAAATAGCCCCCAAACAAATATTTTTTCATTCTCTTGTGTTTTTTTTTACATCATGCATGAAGTGTTGTAGGTTTTTTTCTATCTAGGCGTCTGGCTCGCTTGTTATCTGTGTACACTACACTGTATATACATATACAAGAGGGTCGAGGTATGGATTTGTGCCGTTATAATTTTTGCAGCATCATAAAGACAGGAGATATCGCAGAGGGACTGCGTCGATGCTGGATTCTTGCTGAAGTTCGGCTGTTCACGAGGGAACAGGTTGCGAGTAACGCAGTGAGATATTGTGCTTCGTCTGCGGTTGTCCATTGTGTGGCGAGACGGGTGTTTCAGTTGAGAAGTTCCCAAATGTGGCGTGCGATGCAGAGCCATTAATTTACCCACGTTTCCCTTTATTTTTTATTGTGCTCACTGCGGACAGGGGGGGGTTTAGTTCAGCCTTGTTCGTTCGGCAGGAACTGGCCACAGTGATCATGGGATGCATCGATTTATTACGTTGTGATATGCTCCTGAAATCAATGCAAACTTCCACCGGACTGTATATACTGGGAGGATAACGTGAGCAGTGAAACGGGGGCAGGTCAGAGACAGAGACACGGACCGAGCAGCCCCTCATGTGGAACTGACCCATTTTAACAATCAGAACTTTTTTCAGTTTAAACAAAAAGATTCTATGGTCCTTGTTGCCAAAGCCTTTATTAAAGGTATTATAATCAGAGCAGATGTAATTCTCATCTTTTGAAAGCCACGATCAGGAGCCATCGACAGTCAGTCCAACACAAACAGGAGCCACCACCATATGTGTGACACTATCAGGAGCCATCACAGTGTGTGTGACACTATCAGGAGCCATCGCTGTGTGACACTATCAGGAGTGATCACTGTGTGTGTGACACTATCAGGAGTGATCACTGTGTGTGTGACACTATCAGGAGCCATCGCTGTGTGTGACACTATCAGGAGTGATCGCTGTGTGTGTGACACTATCCGGAGTAATCACTGTGTGTGACACTATCAGGAGTGATCGCTGTGTGTGTGACACTATCCGGAGTGATCGCTGTGTGTGTGAGACACTATCCGGAGTGATCACTGTGTGTGACACTATCCGGAGTGATCGCTGTGTGTGACACTATCTGGAGTGATCGCTGTGTGTGTGACACTATCCGGAGTGATCGCTGTGTGTGTGACACGATCCGGAGTGATCTCTGTGTGTGTGACACTATCAGGAGCGATCATTGTGTGTGTGTGACACTCAGGAGCGATCATTGTGTTTGTGTGACACTCAGGAGCGATCATTGTGTGTGTGTGACACTATCAGGAGCGATGGTCGTGAGATAAAGCATTTTTTTGATATGGAAATCTGAGTTGGACCCTATTAAAGCCACTGCGGCTGTGTTTATTGTTGCAAAGAAACCAATCTAACTTCATGGTATCGTTACATACAGAAAACATTATTGCACAGGAGTGTGTGCACAATGAGACTGTAACGTGACAGCGCCAGACAGACTGTAAATGACAGTGTGAGGTCAGACAGACAGACTAACAGTGACAGTGTGAAGTTAGACAGAGACAGACAGACAGACAGTGACAGCGTGAGGTCAGACAGACAGTGATGGTTTGATAGTCTCTGACAACTCGTCCCATCACCTCTGCTATGTCTGAGAGACGTCTCAAAACGCTTCACAGAATATACTGTAAAATCAAGTGACTGTGTATTTTGTGGGGGGAATAAATATTTTATATTCTGTAAACCTGGAGAACTCATCGGGAAGGACAGCGGAGTCCTGCAGCTGAGAGGTCGGAGGACAAGTCTCACAAGTGAGAGACATGGGTTCAATTCCCGTGAGGACAAAACTTGGGCAAGTTTCCTTACACCACCTGTCTGTACCCGGCAGTCAGCAGGAACCGTTGCCTGTCGATGGCAGTCGCTTTCCCGGGGCTAATAACTCTTTCAAAAAACAATAATAATTGGGTCACTTCAACCCACGACTGTTTGTGGGGACGCCGCTGTGGGGTTGCGCCGACAAAACAACACAAGTCACTACACTTTTTCCTCCACCCCCCGTACTGTCTCGTGCGGTGTCCCTCAGGGTCTGTCCTCGGTCCCCTCCTCTTCACCCTCTATATGCTCCCCCTGTGGTGACATCATCCGCAGACATGGGGTTCACTCCCACATGTATGCGGATGACACCCAACTCTACCTTTCCTCCTCTACCCTCAACTCCACGACCCCCGATGTCCTGACAGCTGTCTGTCCGACATCGAGTCCTGGACGAGAGACAACTTTCTTCAGCTCAATGTGCGCAAAACTGAGGCCCTCCTGATTGGCTCACGTCAGCGCCTCCGCACCTCAGGCACCGACACCATCAGCTCCGCACTCTCCACCTCTCAAAGCCATCAGGAACCTCGGGGTTCCCCTCGACCCTGAGCTGTCCTTTCTCCCTCATATCCGCACCACAACTGGCACCGCCTTCCATCACCTCCGGAACATCGCCAGACTACGGCACTACCTCACCCCTCACGCGGCTGAAACTCTGGTCCACGCCTTTGTCACCTCAAGGCCTGGACTATGGGAACTCTCTCCTCGTCGGCCTTCCCGGCCCTCCCTCCACACTGCAGGTCATTCAGAACTCTGCAGCTCGTGTACTGTCCCGCACCAGACACCGCGACCACATCACTCCCACCCTCGCCCTCACCCTCACCCTCCCCCTCACTCCCACCTTCACTCTCACCCTCGCACTCACCCTCACTCCCACCCTCACTCCCACCCTCGCCCTCACTCCCACCCTCGCACTCACCCTCACTCCCACCCTCACCCTCACTCCCACCCTCACTCCCACCCTCGCCCTCGCTCACCTCCACTGCTCCTCATCCCCCAGAGGATCAAATTCAAGATCTTCATCCTCACCTACAAGGCCATTCCCGGCCTCGCTCCCTCCTACCTCTCCGACCTACTATCCCCCCACGTACCCTCCGTCCCTCCGGCTCCGGTCGGCCCCACATCCCCCGCCCCAATCGCCCGACCATCGGTGGCCTTCAGCCTCTCAGCCCCGAGGCTCTGGAACTCCATCCCCAGTGCCTTCGCCGCCTCCTCCCTCTCCTCCTTCAAGGCCGGTCTCAAGGCCTTTCTCTTTGACCTTCAGCCTTCAGCTCCGCTCTCGACTCTCTACCCCCTCCTCGCTCCCTCCCTTCCCTCCCCTCACCCTGACCATTTCCCCCCAATGCTCGGGACCTGACCCAACTGTACAGTGCCTCGGGACGTCCTCCCGACGTGAAAGGCGCTCTCTAAATGGAATCGTGTTGTTGTTGTTGTTTACGGTGTATCCTGTGAAGCACTTTGAGACGTCTCGAAGACGCGATAATGCGCTGTATCAAATAGGATTATTATCTGTTGGTGGGGACTACAACTCCCAGCGTCCCTCGGGGAATACAGAAGCGATATAAACTACAACCCCCAGAAAGCTTTGCGCGGTCCCGCCGCTGGGGGGGAGAAACTACATCACCCAGAAACCATCGGGCGAGGAAAGGCGGGGTGAGCTGCAAGCATGCGCAGTGCGGGCTCTCGCTCCAGCCTGAAGCGCCGACGCCTCGAAAAATCGGCAGAACACGCAACCGCCCCCCCCCCCACTCCTAAATCACGTGGATCCCGGGGGGAAGGGAGGGCCTGACAGCGAGTGTGTGTGTGTGTAGTGGGGGGGAGAGAAAGTGAGAGAAAGAGCAGTTTAAGGAGCTGAGGAGGAGGAGTCAGAGGGGCGGGTGACGTCACTGGACTGAGTGGCGCCTGCGCACTGGTGAGAAAAGCCGCCGCTCGAGCAGTGACCGTTGGTGAGGAGGTCCGCGCCTGCGCACTGACTGCTCACTCCCCCCTCACTGTCCCCCCGTTACCCCCATCACTGACCTCCCATCATGTTTGACACCAGAGCTGTGACCCACTCGGCCTTCCCCACCACTGTCTGACACCGCAGCCCCCGAGACCCTCACACATCCGGGCTCGACCCCCACCCCATCACCCGCACCCCCCCACCCGCACCCCCCCCACCCCCACCCCATCACCCGCACCCCATCACCCCCACCCCATCACCCGCACCCCATCACCCGCACCCCATCACCCCCACCCCATCACCCCACCCCATCACCCGCACCCCATCACCCGCACCCCCCCACCCGCACCCCATCACCCGCACCCCATCACCCCCACCCCATCACCCCCACCCCCCCACCCGCACCCCATCACCCGCACCCCATCACCCCCACCCCATCACCCCACCCCATCACCCGCACCCCATCACCCCCACCCCATCACCCGCACCCCATCACCCGCACCCCATCACCCGCACCCCATCACCCCCACCCCCACCCCATCACCCCCACCCCATCACCCGCACCCCATCACCCCCACCCCATCACCCCCACCCCATCACCCCCACCCCATCACCCGCACCCCATCACCCCCACCCCATCACCCCCACCCCATCACCCCCACCCCATCACCCCCACCCCATCACCCGCACCCCATCACCCCCACCCCATCACCCCCACCCCCACCCCATCACCCCCACCCCATCACCCCCACCCCATCACCCGCACCCCATCACCCCCAGTTTAGCGACCACAGAGGGTGTGCGAGTGTGTGTGGGGGTGTTATCCTCTGGACAGCCCCCAGTTAGAGCATTGTGGATGGTGTTCTGTAGCTCAGGGGTTAGAGCCCTCGCAAGCGAGAGGACCCGGGTTCAATTCCCGGGCGAGTGAAACCCCAGGTAAGTTTCTTTACTCTACACACCTCTGTTTACACAGCAGTGAGTAGGAACTTAGTCGATTGGCGGATCACTTTTACGGTGATAATAATTCCTTGAAATAATAATAAATTGGTCACTCAATCCATGATAATAATAAAAATAATATTATTGATAATAATAATCCCTCCAAAACAAAACAATAATAAATTAGTAATTTTTAACCCACGACTGTTTGTGGGACATTGCTGTGTGCATTTGGCTGCTGCGTTTCGCCCACAAATATACAGTCAATTCAGTCTATTCTGTGAAGCGCTTTAAGACATCTCAAAGATGTGATAAGGCGCTATATCAAATCCATCATTTGGATCATTATTATTTGGGGCATTTGTTTCGGCGATTTGTCCTGAAGCTAAAAAGTCCCTTGACTCCAGCCCATCCCCCCGGACAGCCCCATAGCTGTCCGAGCCAACCCGGCACACCCTCCCGGACAGGCAGAGCAGATTAGCTCAGGGCCCAGTGTGTATGAGAGAAACAGGAGCGATCACTGGCTTCAGGTCTGTGTTTCCCTTTCAGTGTATCTTACACATTTATGTACGTTTCTGTCTCTTTTATGATTCTCACTTCTCTCTCTCTGTCATCTTTGTGAGTGCATCTTTCTGTTTTTGTGGATAGGATGTCCACAAGATTCGGTTCCCCCCATGGTTTTTAATCCACAGTGCACTGAACTGAAACATAATTATATTCCTTGCCTTATCATGTCTTCGAGATGTCTCAAAATGCTTCTCAAACTGTAAAGTGAATTGACTGTATATTTTGTGGGCGAAGATGTGAAAAAATTGTATTGAGAAATACTTAGTGTTTAACTGCATTGAGACGTCCAGAGAATCGAGTTGTGTGTATGTGTGAGTGTGCGTTTGAGTGAGTGTGTGAGTTGTGTGTGAGTGAGTGAGTGAGTGCTGTGTGATTGTGAATGTGTGAGTGTGTGTAAGCGACTTGAGTGAGTGTGTGAGCATTGTAATTTTCATGGCAGATAATGATCATTATCTGTCGACATGTTAAGTGCCATATCTTCCGTAATAATAATAATAATAATAATAATCCTTGCATTTGATATAGCGCTTTTCACGTCGGGAGGACGTCCCAAAGCGCTTCACAGAACACACTGTAAAGTGAATTGACTGTATATTTGTGGGCGAACGCGGCAGCCAATTGCGCACAGCAATGTCCCACAAACAGTCGTAGATTGAAAATGACCAATTTATTATTGTTTTTGGTTTTGGAGGATTATTATTAGGGCTCTGTGTGGAGTAAGGAAACTTGCCCGAGGTTTCGCCCTCTGCCGGGGATTGTACTCAGGTCTCTCACTTGCAAAGCGAGTGCTCTAACCACTGAGCTACAGGAACATAAGAACGTAAGAAATTCTAGACGAAAAAAAGAACAAAAAGTCCATCTAGTTCCTCTTCCACCTTCCTGGCAGTCACATACACATATTTTCCAAACTATCTATATCCCATAATGTTATTCCCTGAAAGAAAACTAATCTGTATTTGAAATAACCAACATTTCCTGCTTCAGCCCTGGGGATCCTGTTCCTTAGGTTCTCTATTCACTCACTGAAATAGTGTAGATTGGTTCTGAATTTATCCCCTTCAATCGCAGGCCGTGTGTCTCTGGGTTTACTAGTCTGGTAAGTTGAAGCAGATGACATGGTCTCGATTGTCCAGCCTCTGGCTGCAGTGAGAGGCCAAATGCAGCTCTGACAGCTCCTCCGTGGTCTCGTGTCGCTCTTTTGTAACAGAGGGTAAACAGAACGTTGTGGACACCCTGTACGTCACACTCTCTTTCGTCCCCTCTCTCTCTGACTGTCTGTCTCACAGGCTTTCTCTCACTCGCTCTCCTTTGTGCAGGCGTCACTCCCGGGTTGAATGCCGAAAACCGTGGTAGTAATCGGAGGGGGAATCACTGGCCTCTCTGCCTGTTTCCACCTGACTCGAGCCACCAGCAACCCCAAGGTATGTACGTTCCTCTCAGTCTCACATTGCATGTCAGCCTGGCTCAGTGCCAGCGCTCGCTCTCTCCTCTTTCTCTCTCACCTCTGAGTCAGAAGGTTGTGGGTTCAAGCCCAGCATCGAGACTCGGAATCACAGTCTAAGCTGCGCTGTGTGGGGGCGGTGTTGTATTTTCGGAGGTTATTATATTACACGAAGGCCTCTGGATAAATCTAAGTTGATTAATGACAGAATACAACTCCTGTCCTCCCAGGTGATCCTGTTGGAGGCCAGCGGACGTCTGGGAGGTTGGGTGCAATCGACACGGACGGAGGATGGCGCCATCTTTGAACATGGTCCCAGGGGAGTCCGTCCAGCTGGCACAGTGGGGAAGAACACCCTTCAGATGGTAATAATAATAATAATCATCGCATCACAGCGCCTTATCACATCCTCCAGATGTCTCAAAGCGCTTCACAGAATATGCTGTAAAGTGTAGTGACTGTATATTTTGTGGGTGAAACGCGGCAGCCAATTGCGCACAGGAGCGTCCCATAGTCGTGGATTGAGTGACCAAATTAGACCATTATTTTAAAGGGATTATAACCCCTGGAAAGTGATCCGCTGATCGACTAACAACTTACCGCTAGTAAACAGAGGCGTGTGGAAACTTGGCTAAGGTCTCGCTCTGCCTGGAATCAAACCCGGGGCCTCTCACTTACGAGGCGAGGGTTCTAACCACTGAGCTACGGGACTCCACACTGTCAGGTTTGTGTGACTCACTTCTCTTCCTCTGTAACTGTATGTAACCAGGTCTCTGAGCTGGGCCTGGAGAACAAGCTGCTCCCAGTGCAGAAGGACAGCATCGCAGCCAAGAACCGATTTCTCTATGTTGGCGGCAAACTGTGCCGTTTGCCCTCCAGCTTCAGGTAAATGGTGTCCCCGGTGAAAGTGAGCAGGTGTCAGTGTGGTCCTATAGCGTCCTCTCACCCCTTCAACACAGCTCAAGTGACATAGTGTACAGTGAAACTCACATCAGTCTTTATAAAACGTACAATCACCTAAGTCACACATGCAGCTGAGTTCAGGCTCCTACTCCTCGTGACGAGTTGTTGTTGGGTCCCAATCAGTTTCTTATCCAAATCATTGAGATTTCTTTGTACTAATCATACTGGTCACCTCCTAACTCCCAACCCACTCCCCAACCTTCCATTACCCCCACACTCACTGTGAGAAGCGAGGCCTTGATCAGTAGACACGTGAGCAGAAGATTCTCATTTTTTTTGATTAATTACGATTCCAGTGCTTATGTGTGCACGTGTGGTGACGGGTCAGGACACATTGAATCACGGGAAACATAGTCTTGACCCGTCACCACATTCCCACTTACAGTCTGCAGTGAATTTCACCTGCGCAGGGTAGATTATTGATTAATTTGGATTTATACGACAAGTACAGTTAGCCTGCAATTTGGTCTTTGCGTAAGTCATATTAAATGTTACAATCCCGACTGATACAAATTATGTGAGTTTTACTGTATTGATCCCTGTTATTTTGGGTAAATTGAGTCGGGGGATTCAGTGGGGACGAGAGAGCAGAGAGAGAGAAGTGAAGGTGGTTGATGGGCCTTTGTATTGTGTTGATGGAGATTTCCTCTTTGTACCTTATCAATGTCGACAGTGGCATTTGCAAAACCCAGGAGCCCTTTACGAAGCCCCTGATATCGCATTTGCTTCGAGAACCACTGGTCAGCCAGAGCAAAGAGCCAGATGAAAGTGTGTACAGTTTTGCTCTCAGACGATTTGGAAAAGAGGTATGGAAATGATCCTTCAATATCAATAATAATAATAATGCTTGAATTTGATATAGCACCTTACCAGATCTTCGTGACGTCTCAAAGCGCTTCACAAGATATAATGTAAAGTGAATTGGCTGTGTGTTTTGTGGGCAAAACATTGCAACCAATTCCACACAGCAGTGTCCCCACAAACAGTTGTGGATTGAGTGCCCAAATTATTATTGTTATTATTTTGAAGGGATTGTTACTCCCAGAAAAGCAATCCACCAATCGACTAACAACTGTGTTCCTACTGACTGCTGGTAAACAGAGGCGTGTGGAGTCAGGAAACTTGCCCAACTTTTTGCCCGCCCCGGGAATCGAACCCAGGTCTCTCGCTTGCAGGGCGAGGGCTCTAACCACTGAGCTACAGGAGCCCACAATATTGTAAAAATATTGTTTACAAAAGGCAAAATATTGCAGATGGTGGAAATCCGAAATAAAATCAGAAGTGTCAGCAGGTCAGGCAGCATCTATGGAGAGAGGAAAGTGAGTTAACATTTCAGGCCGATCAATTTTCGTTCTTAAATATTGTTCGTTCTGCCTCTCAGTTCTACAGGAGAGAAGCTGGAGTCAGGAGCATCTCACTTCCATGGGGAGATAGATCCTTTGGGTCCTGTTATTACTGCGAAAGGCAGTGAGTGATAAGCAGGAGAGGTTATCTGTGCTCAACATACAATGCTGGGCGTAGGCTTAGTTACTGCTGAGAACTGATGGTCGAGTTTCCAGAATCAGGGCTTTGGCTGTGGGGTTAACAGGAGCCGAGGGGGAGGATTCCCTGCCCCCAGTGACTGGTCGGCCCTTCCAGGTCCTGACAATGATCTTTAACATGTGCTTTGCCGCTGTGGTTGAGACTGGGTTTAGGTCTTGTCTCTATGACAATTTATAATAATAATAATCCTTGCATTTGACACCGTGCCTTATCACATCTTCGAGACGTCTCAAAGCGTATTACAGGATACACTGTAAAAGGTAGTGACTGTATGTTTTATGAGCGAAATGCGGCACCCAGTTGCGCACAGCAGCGTCCCCGCAAACAGCCGTGGGTTGAGTGACCACATTATTATTGTTTTTTGAAGGAATTATTACCCCCGGAAAAGCGATTCCTCAAATCGACTAACAACTGGGTTCCTCCTGACTGCTGGAAACAGAGGAGTGTTGTGGAGTCAGGAAACTTGCCCAACTTTTTGCCCGCCCCGGGAATCAAACCCAGGTCTCGCTTGCAAGGCGAGGGCTCTAACTCCTGAGCTACAGGACTCCATGGCACAATGCTGAGAGTGGCGGCTGAGTTAATAACTCAGGGCTTGAACCCACGCACTCCTGACCCGGGTCAGATAGATTGACACATGCCCCACAGAGCCAGGCCCAAGCTCAGTGCTGAGACACACAGAGTGGATCAGTCCTGGTCTCTGTCCCCACAGTTCCCTGATCTCAGTCTCTCACCCACAGATTGCGGACAACGCCATTGACAGTCTGTGCCGCGGGATCTTTGCTGGGGATTGCCGGCAGCTCAGCCTTCGCTCTTGCTTCCCCATCCTGTACACGGCCGAACGTGGGTACGGCTCTGTCCTGCTGGGAATGCTGCTCACAGCGGGTAAGTGTGTGGCGCTGGGGGTTGGGATCAGGAGGAGGAGCGGGGAGGATAGGGGTAGGAAGGTGACGGTCGAAGAGGAGAATCTCGGCAAATGGTGCGCAAACCAATGCGCAACCGAGGTGTCCGCTTCAACCCCCAGCTGTCCTTCCTCCCCCACATCCGGTCCCTGACCAGAACGCCTTCCTCCACCTCCCCCACATTGCTCCCCTCTGACCGTACCTTACCCCAACTGCAGCCGAAACCCCGATGCGTGTGTTTGTCACCTCCCGCCTGGATTGCTCCAACCCCCTCCTCGCTGGTCTCCTCAGCTCCACCATTCACAAGATCAGCTCATTCAAAATTCTGCCGCCCACATACTGACCCCAACCAAACTCCACACCCACATCTCACAGCTCTGACCTTCCTCTTCAACTGTGCTTACATAGACCTCTCCCCCCACCCTCCCCTCAGCTCGGAGTCAGGCTCCACCACTGTCAAGCGCTCTGAGACGCTACCCTGCGTGGAGGGCACTATATAAGTGCAAGTTGTTGTTGTCTTGAGACGGGTCTTGAAGGAGGCAAAGGAGGTGAGTCAGAGGGACAGTGGGATGGAGTTCCAGAGGGTGGGGGCAGAGAGGAACCCTCACACAGGGTAGCGACCCTCGTTTGCATCCCTCTACAACTGAAACTTCATTGATCAACATCCTCCCATTCCCCTCCTCTGCTCAGTGATTCCCCTCATCATCATTAACACTTTTGATCCATTCATCATCTGTGAAAGGGACTATTTAAGTGCAAATTGTTGTTTAAAGGTACAGTCCCACCCTGTCCCTGACCCCCCCACCCTCTGCCCCCATCTGGAACTCCATCCGACAGCCTCTGTCTCCAAGACCCTCTTCTTCGACCAACTGTGCCTTCGGTCAACCTCCTACCCCCACCCTCTACCCTATCCTGATCCCAACTCCCAGCTCGGGTGCAGACCCCTGGCCGTCCAGCGCCTTAGGACGTCCTCCTGACGTGAGAGACGCTGTGTAAATGTAATGCGTTGTTATGGTGTGGAAGGGTGGCTGCTGTGGTTCAGATGAGTTTGAAGCTATGGCGGGTGGGACTGAGGAGTGGACAGTGTGGAAGTCAAAGCACTTATCATTGGATGACCTCCCGTCCAGATCAGCCACATCAGTTCAGGAGCCCGCTCATCTCCAGAGCCCTGACAGAGGGCTGGACACAGTGGTCGCTCCAGGGAGGAATGCAGACGCTTCCTGAAGCCTTGGAGGATGATCTACGGAAAAACAGCGTCGAAATCCATCGGGATACAACAGTCAGCAAGATAGAACCGCAGAGCAATGGCAGTTGGAAGGTGAGGTGGCACATTCCTGTACATCGTCCACAGTGATCCCAGGTCAGTCACACACAGTAAAGCCCACACTGTGCCATCCACACAGGTGGGTCAGCTTCACCATAGAATAAAGCTCCCTCTACACTGTGCGTCCGTCCACACTCCCAGGTCAGGGTTAGAGACACAGTAAAGCCCTCTACACTGTGCGTCCACACTCCCAAGGCGGGGACAGTGACAGAGGAAGATAAAATGTTGAACATGGTTTCAAAAACAGAACCTTAAAGAATTTTGAGAAGTATTAAATATAGATTCTAGTGAAACCCAAAATCAAATCAAATTTTTCCTTGTTTCCAGTACATCGACACAACACAGTCACTCTACATTATATGTGACACCCCACCAGTATATCCTGTGAGTCCTGACATGAATTGCTGTATTACCAAATGGAAAGATTAACGGTTGTTATAAACTCCTGATTAGATTCCAGTTTGTGACTCACTCCCACAATCTGTTATTCTGCATCTAAATCCCCTAAACTCTGAATTACATTCCAATCTATCATTTGCTCCTGAAATATTTTATGTGTATATTGGAACTACAGAAAATTACTGCACTGAAGAAGCCCAATCATCCCATTGTGTCTGATATATATTCAATCTTTTATAATAAGAATATAATTCCCAAACCCTTCAGTTAACAACAACAACATTACATTTGTATAGCGCCTTTCATGTCGGGAGGACGTCCCAAGACGCAGGTTACAGGATCTTTTAAGTTTCCTTTTATTCTGTTTTTCTCCCCATTTCAGATAAATCTAGAAAACGGCTCCATCAGAGCAGATCACGTCATCTCTGCTGTCTCTTCGCGAGGTGAGTCCTGACCAGTGTCTTACACACACTCCCGGTCACCTGAGGCAGCACATATCACACTGTTATACAGTCTATCATTTATCCAACAACAACACATTACAATTCCACGGAGCCTTTCATGTCAGGAGGACGTCCCAGGGCGCTGGACAGTCAGGGATCCGCACCCGAGCTGGTGGTTGGGATCAGGAGGGATGGAGGGTGGGGGGGGGGGTAAGATGGTGACTGAAGACACAGTCTAAGAGGAGGGGCTTGAGTCGGATCTTGAAGGAGGTGAGGGAGGGCCGAGGCCGAGGGACTGCGGGATGGAGTTCCAGAGGGTGGGGGCAGAGAGACTGCCAATGGTGGGGCTGGCGAGGCGGGGGACGTGAAGCCGGCCGGAGCCCGCTGACCGGGGGGAGGGAGCAGGCAGGTGGGTAGAATCCCGGCCACGAGGAGTAAATAAATGATGATTTATATTCAATCCCCCGGTTTATAGCGGTAGGGATGTTATATTGGAACAGGACAGTAAGTGCTCTGTATGGCCACAGCGTCTATTGTTAGGTCTGTTGTGTTCTCCATTGTAAGAAGTTACACTTTACATTGGATCCTGTGAAGTGCTTTGAGACGTCTCGAAGACGCTGTATCAAAGGCAAGGATTATTATTATTATTATTTCTACCTGCCATCTTGTCCCTCGTGTTGTTTGTTCTGTGACTGTGTCTGTGCTGCTCAGCGCTGAGCTGCCTCCTCCCTCCGTCCCTCGAGGCCCTGGCATCGGAGCTACGCCAGATCAGCAGTGCCAGCGTGGCCGTGGTCAACCTGGAGTACCAGGGCAACGTGCTGCCCATCACGGTAAGAGCTGTCTCTCTCTCTCTCTCCTCTCTCTCTCTCACTCTCACACACAGAGGATGCAGTTCAAGATCCTCACCTTCTAAGCCCCTCATGGCTTCGCTCCCCCCGACGTCTGCGACCTCCTAACCCTCTACCATCCTGCTTGCTCCCTGCGCTCAGCGGGCTCCGGCCTGCGCCACACCCCCCGCCATTGTCGGGCGGGGCTTCAGCCTCTGTGCCCCCACCCTCTGGAACTCCCATCCCACAATCCCTCCCCCTCACCCCCTCCTTTGCCTCCTTTAAGACCCGTCTCAAGCCCCTCCTCTTTGACTGTGCCTTTTGGTCGCCCTCCTCTGCCCCCCCGACCTCTCTGACCTCCTCTCTCCTCACAACAGTACCCATTGCCTTTGTTCCTCCGGGTCTGACCTCCTCCTCATCCCCCGAGTCCTCCGCTCCCCCCTCGGTCTCTTCAGCCACTGTGCCCCGAGGCTCTGGAACTCCCTTCCTCACTCCCTTCATCTCGTCCCCTCTCTTCCTATTTTCAGGTCTCTGCTGAAGATGTTTCTTTCCGACTGCGCCTTTGGTCACTTCCCCCCCCCCCCGCTCCCCCTCCCCTGGCTCCTCCCTCCCCCTGGCTCCCCCCTCCCCCCAGCTCCCCCTCCCCTGGCTCCCCCCTCCCCCTGGCTCCTCCCCCTCCCCCTGGCTCCTCCCCCTCCCCCCAGCTCGCCCCTCCCCTGGCTCCCCCTCCCCTGGCTCCTCCCCCTCCCCTGGCTCCTCCCCTCCCCCAGCTCGGCCCCTCCCCCCCTCCCCCCCCCCCCGGCTATCCCCCTTCCCCTGGCTCCTCCCCAGGCTCCTCCCCTTCCCCTGGCTCCCCCCCTCCCCAGGCTCCCCCCTCCCCTAGCTCCTCCCCTTCCCTGGCTCCTCCCCTCCCCTGGCTCCTCCCCCTCCCCAGCCCCTCCTCCTCCCTTGGCCCCTCCCTTGACTCCTACCTCCCCCTGGCTCCACCCCCCTGGCTCCTCCTCCTCCCCTGGCTCCTCCCCCTCCCCTGGCTCCTCCCCGAGCTCGGCCTCGGGATCCGTTACTGTGAAGCTCTGAGACGCCGCCTGGTGTGGAGGGCACTATATAAGTCCAAGTTGTTGTATATATGTCACATCATTGAGACATCTCAAAGCGCTTCACAGAATACTCTGTAGTGGTGTAACTGTATTTTGCACATTTCCTTTTACACACAATAAAATCTTAAAGTGCTTGAGAGGGAATAATAATCTAATGTTCCTTGCATTTGACATAGTGCCTTATTATATCATTGAGACGATTCACAGCGCTTCACAGGATATATTATGAAGTGGAGTGACTGTGTATTCTGTGGGCGAAACGATGTGAAGACGTGAAAACCCTTTCACAGTGGGAAGTTGACCAAGTAGACCAAGTACAATTCATAATTGTAATTATGAATAAAGGGAGAGGTGTGAGAATCCAGGATTTTGGAAGGAAGTTCAAAAAGAGTGGGTCATCATGGCTGAAAGCTCGGTTACCAGCAATGGGGTGGAGTGACATGCAGCAGGTCAGGATCTGCGGAGTGGTGGGAGTGAGTGAGCGAGAGAGAGTGAGGCTGGTTGAGGTTGCAGAGATAAGAGGATAGAGCCACGACTTACAGGCCAGGTTCTCGTTGGTTCCAATCCAGGTTCATTCTGAACAGAGGAGACGAGGGAAATGGTGGGATAGATAGTAATTTAACTGGAAGATGATTTCTCTCCTTGCTCCTCTCCCAAGTATCTATCGCCCTCTTAGGGACATAGGAATTACTAGACGATAAAAGACCATCTAGTTCACCTTCTTCATCCTGGCAATCACCTGCTACAATAATGGAGATGTTGGCAACAATTAATTCTGTATGAATCAGTCTACAAACTCCAGTGATCCCCTAACTGGCCAAGTAATTTCTGTTTCTCAGCAGTAAATAGGAACCCAGTTGTTAGTCAATTGTCGGATTGCCTTTCCAGGGGTAATAATTCCTTCAAAAATAAATTTAAAAAATAAGTTGGTCACTTAATCCACGACCGTTTGTGAGACGCTACTGTGCGCATTTGACTGCCGCGTTTCGCCCACAAAATATGCGGTCAATTCAGTATATTCTGTGAAGGGCTTTGAGGCGTCTCAAAGACATGATGAGGGGCTGTATCAAATGCAAGGATTATTATTATTATTACTACTGTGTCTCTATTTAAACCTCCCAATTGACTCTGTGACTGGACAAGTCATGTTTTCATAGTCCTGAGTCTGAAGAAATCCTGTCTCTGCTGCAGGGGTTTGGACACCTGGTCCCGTCGATGGAGAGCAGGGGTGTCCTGGGCGTAGTTTATGACTCGTGTTTATTTCCGGAGCAGGACCGAGCTGGAGCTCCCAGCACCCGGGTCACGGTGAGTCACCTGCTCAGCTGTTTGTCCCAAAGCAACTCTGAACCACAGGTGTAACAGGACACACAGCGAGTTACTGGTTAGACCCCTCGCCTTGCAAGCGAGAGGACCTGGGCTCGATTCCCGGGCAGTTCGGGGCGTAACATTGGGTAAATTTCCTTACCCCACATGCCTTTGTTTACCGAACAGTAAGTAGGAACCCAATTATTAGTTGATTGGCGGATAATAATTCCTTCCAAAAAAAATTTATTTGGTCACTCAATCCGCAGCTATTTGTCGTGGATTGATGCTGTGTGCAATTGGCTGTCGCATTTCGCCCACAAAATACACAGTCATTACATTTTGCAGTATGTTCTGTAGCTCTAACACAGGACTCCACAGCTTATTTCGCCCAAAAATATACGGTCAATTCACTTTACAGTCAGTGAAGCTCTTTGAGACGTCGAGAAGACGTGCAAAGCACTGTATCAAATGCAAGGATTGTTATTATATATAATATATTTTCCTCAGGGTTGTTAAAGCGTGAAATTACTGAGACCGAGAGCCTAGTGTTTCAAAGGGAATCGGATCAACCTTTGCAGATGTGACAGAGCAAGTTGGCGGGTCACTGGTCTAAGGTATAGATCAGCCATGATCTTATAGAATGGCAGAACAGGCTCGAGGGGCTGAATGGCCTCTTCCTGTTTCTGTGACTTGTGTCTAGTACAATTGTGCACAGTGACATCCCACAAACAACCACAAACAAGCGACTATTTGTATTGGGGGAGTGTTGGGCAGGTGTGTGGTTGTGGTGCTGCAGTGATGATGGGGGTTATTGATGTTCACAGGTGATGCTGGGCGGGGCGTGGTTCCATGAGGCTTTCGGCAGCCCTGAGCAAGCCAACCACAAGGAGCTGCTGGCGGTCGCCAAGGAAACCATCCGTACACACCTGGGGGTGAGCGCTGAGCCTCTCCGCTCAATCCTCAACATCCAACAGGTAGGTCACTGCCACCGGCTCAGCCACAGCACAGAGTAAAGCTCCTCTACACTGTGCATCTGTCCACACTCCCAGGTCAGGGTTACAGACACAGTAAAGCTCCTCTACACTGTGCGTCCACACTCCCAGGTCAGGGTTACAGACACAGTAAAGCTCCTCTACACTGTGTGTCCACATTCCCAGGTCAGGGTTAGAGACACAGTAACACACAGTCACTACACTCCCAGGTCAGGGTTACAGACACAGTAAAGCTCCCTCTACACTGTGCGTCCGTCCACACTCCCAGGTCAGGGTAAGAGACACAGTAAAGCCCTCTACACTGTCATCTCTGTCCTCACAGCTCCTCTCAATCTCTGCTGTTCCAGTCGAAAAAGCCAAAATTGAGCTGCTTCTGGTTCTCTTTGCCGGTCACAGAAACATTTGAGTTTGATTATTTTCAGGACTCAATCGCCCAGTACGCAGTGGGGCACTGGAAACGTCTAGGTGAGGATATGTACTTTGTATAATGCCCAGGTCCTAGAGTTAAAAGAACGATTTATCTAACTTTATCTGTAACAAACGTTCCCTGGGGTGGATTTGCCAAACTTAAAAGGATATATAATGAGTTCTTAACCCTGTCGTTCAGTGTGTTCAGCTGATTGGTCAGCAAAAGAGAAGGGAGTTTCTCCTCGTGTCCTGGCCAACAATTCTGCTAAGAAATTGGTCATTTACCTCTTGTCTGTTTGCTTGACGTTGCTGTCTGCAAACTGGCTACTGATTTTGCCTACAAAATGCAGTCACCAGAGTAATAATGTAATAATCCTTACATTTAATACAGAGCCTTATTATGTTTTCAGATGTCTCAAACAACTTAATAATAATAATCCCGGCATTTGATATAGCGCTTTTCATGTCTTCTCGACGTCTCAAATCGCTTCACAGAATAGATTGTAAAGTGAATTGACTGTATATTTGTGGGCGAAATGCGGCTGCCAATTGCGCACAGCAGTGTCCCACAAACAGTCGTGGATTGAAATGACCAATTTATTATTTTTTTTAGGGATTATTATCAGGCGTGTGGAGTAAGGAAACTTGCCCAAGGTTTCGCGCTGCCGGGAATCAAACCCAGGTCTCTCGCTTGCGAAGCGAGTGCTCTAACCATTGAGCTACAGGGCTCTAGAATTTCCCAGAATGTACTACAGAGTGAATTGACTGTGTATTTTGTGGGCAAAACACAGCAGCCAATTGCACACAGCAGCGTCCCAAAAACAGTCATGTATTGAATGACAATTTTTTTTGAAGGCATTATTACCCTCGGAAAGTGATCCATCAATTGACTAACAGCCAGGTTCCTACTTACTGCTAGTAAACAGAAGTCTGTGTTTGTGTGGAGTAAGGAACTTGCCTATGGTTTCGAGAATCAAACCTGGGTCCTCTCGCTTGCGAGGCGAGTGTTCTAACCACAAAGCTACAGGACTCCACTAACAGGACTCCACTACAGTACTTCCCTTGGAGCATTTTAGTATTATAGGGCTGGGCTGTGTGTCTGCTGCCCTCTGTCTGTGTCTTTCTCACTGTGTGTGTGTCTCCCTCTCTCCTTTCCTCACAGATACCATCTACAACATCATCTCTGATCACGCGTTGGGTCTGAGTCTGACGGGAGCTTCCTATGAGGGTGTCTCAGTGAACGACTGCATTTTTAATGCCCGAAATATTGTGGAAAAGCTATTTAGCTAACGCTCACGCCTGAACAGCTTTCTCTGTCTCCTTCGCCTAGTTTTACAGATAGATTTAGCTAGAGATGATTGATCGTGAGCTGCTCTTACACACCAGAGGTTACTGCTATGAAATGGGAACTCTTTAAGCTGTGAGGTTACTGACCTGCGATCTCTATACGGACAGTGTAGAGAGAGCTCTACGCTGTATCTAAGCTGTGCTGTGGCTGATCTGTGGTATCAGGTTACTGTTAGGCAATTGTTTTAGATTTTATCGATAATATTCAATCATTGACATGATTCCTGGTGACAAATATTGGAATAAACCTTTTTATAAAATTTAACAATAATTCAATAAAGGCTGGAAATTCTTGGCAATTATCTTACAACGATGCTGTGAATAAATTGTCGTTACCATATTTTAATCTACTTCAATCAGTTTGATCCATTCAGACTCACACACCTTTTTATATCCACGTACTGAGATCAGGAGACACTGAGGTATAAATATAAACAATAGTGTGTATTTATATAGCGTCCTTCACACCGAGTAATGTCTCGGACCACTGAACATCCAAGAATATGGAGCCCTGCAGCTCAGTGGTGAGAGCACTCATCTCGCAAGGGAGAGGACCAGGTTCGATTTCCGGCCGTGAGAATCCTTAGGCAAGTTTCCTCACTCCACACGCCTTCGTTTACCAGCAGTAACTAGGAACCCAGTTGTTAGTCCACTGGCGGATCACTTTTCCGAGGGTAATAATCCCTTCAAATAAATAATAATTTGGTCGCTCAATCCTCAGCTATTTGTGGGACGTTGCTGTGCCCAATTGGCTGCCATGTTTTGGCCAACAAAATACACTGAGACGGTTCTTTCACCCCTATATGTACATCCACGATATGGCTCGTTCTCCCTTGTAGAGTGTCCTGGGTGGTTTGTGTTCAATCCTCACTAATGAATGTAAGTCTCCATAACTGGGTGTAATTTGACTAATGAGTGCTTCCACATTGACAGGTGCTACCAATTGCTATGGAATTAAAGCAAATTGGGAAGCTTCAGTCAATCAGAGGTTTAGTTTACACCTCGTGACCAAGGCTGAATCTGTTTGTGTATTCCCTCTTTTGATTTGTACAGAAAGCTCAAATTAAGCACGGTTAAGTTAACTCAACAGAATTTTATTGTAGTTTTGATGAAATCCACAACCCTTGACATTAAATCTTCAACAACGTGATAAAAATCAACAAACACAACTATGAGATAACAAAACACAGACGCGGGAAATTTTAAACAGAAACAGAGGTCGCTGGGAACACTCAGCAGGTCAGGCAGCATCTATGGAGAAAGTAAAGTGAGTCAACATCTCAGGTCAACTGTAAGGTTATTGTATTTTTCAGGGAAGCCTGGATTGTCCATTGCAGGGAGTCTCCAGCTATTCTATGTTTACCCCCCCACTCCCCCAACTCCCAATCAACCAATCCCTGTACCACCTCCCCACCAACAGCCAACCACACAAACCCAAAAGAGCACTGCACTTCCTCACGTCCCAGTGTCCTGCCCGACAATCCTCCAGATAAAATTGGCCATTCACTTCATGGCTTGGCGGATCGCTTTTCCGGGGATAATAATACTTCAAAAAAAAAATTTGGTTACTCAATCTATGACTGTTTGCGGCACATTGCTATGCGCAATTGGCTGCCACATTTCACCCACAAGTATGCAGTCACTACACCACAGTATATTCAGTGAAGCACTTTGAGATGTCTTGAAGACATGATAAGGCACTATATCAAATGTAAGATTATTATTATTAAGGCTGTTTGAGAGATATGGCCTTGTGCAAAATTGGCTGTTGCACTTGCAAACAAATAAGGTTTCTGCTGTTTACAATTCCCTGTGAAGTGCCTTGAGACAACAAGAACAAATTGCACTTATATTGCACTTCTCACTTCAGGAGGGGGCAAGGTGGGGGGGTTAAGGCAGGGAGTTCCAGAGTTTCGGAGCGTAGTGGCTGGAGAGCCACTGACGGTGAAGCGGAGGAGACGAGGGATGTGCAGAAGTCACAGCAAAAGCAACAAATGACTGACCTGCTCACAGGTATCTGGTTACATGCAATACCTTCTGTACAACTGCGATAATTCATACAAAGTTTTCCCACACATTGTTCCAGAGAGGCTCTGCTGACAATGTGAAAGAAGCTCTCAACACACAAATCAGCTGAAGGACATTCATGCCCCAGTGGCCCAATGGATAAGGCACTGGCCTAAGCCAGGGATTGTGGGTTCAAGTCCCACCTGTGGTGAATTCATGTTTTCAGCAATTAAACCTGATGTTTGTCCCATTATTGTGCATCATGGAAATGATATCCTGTCAGACCAGCTCTGTCTTGCAGTGAAAATGTCGCAATTTTATTTGGAGGCAGTTCACTTTCACACAACAATTTCTCACCGGCACTAAGTCAGTGAGTGACCAATATTAATGTTGTGGAATCCTGCAGCCTAGTGGTTAGAGCACTCGCCTCTCAACTGAGAGGACGCAGCTTCGATTTCCAGCCAAAACCTTAGGCAAATTTCCTTACTCCACACACCTGTTTAACTATCAGTAAGTGAGAACCCAGATGTTAGTCAATTGTCGGTTTCCAGGGGTAATAATACCTCCAGAAAAATGTCACTCAATCCACAACTGTTTGTGCGACACTGCTGTGCGTAATCAGCTGCCACATTTCACCCACAAAATACAGTCATTATACTTTATAGTATATCCTGTGAAGCAGTTTGAGAAGTCTCAACAATGTGATAAGGCGATAAGGCAATCAAATGCAACGATTATTATTATTACAGAGAGCAGAGAGTGGTGGTGAACGGTTGTTTTTCTGACTGGAGGGAAGTGCAGTGGTGCAGGGGTCGGTATTGGGGCCACTGCTGTTTGTGATCTATATAAATGACTGGACTTGGGTATAGGGAGCACAAGTTTGCAGATGAAACTGAGCTGGAAAAGTAGGAAACAGTGAGGAGGATAGTAACCGACTGCAAACGGACACAGACAGACTGGTAACGTGGGCAGACACGGGGCGGATGAAGTTTAATGTGGAGAAATGTGAAATGATGCATTTTGTGAGGAAGAACGAGGAGAGAAAATATAAGCTGATGGTATAATCTTAAAGGGGGTGAAGGAACAGAGAGACCTGGGGGTTCACCTTTGAAGGTGGAGGACAGGTAGATAAACCTGTAAAAAGAAGCATATGGGATACTACGCTTTATAAACAGAAGCATAGAATATAAAAGTCAGGAAAATACGATGAACCTTTATATAAAACACTGGTTAGGCCTCAGCGAGAAACTGTGTTCAGCTCAGGGCCTCACACAGTAGGAAGGATGTCAAGGCATTGGAGAGGGAGCAAAGGAGATTTCCCAGGATGGTACCAGGAATGAGGGTCCTCAGTGATCAGGAGAAGCCGGAGAAGCCGGGATTATTCTCCTTGGAACAGAGAAGGTTAAGAGGAGACTTAATAGAAGTTTCCAAAATGATAAAGGGATTTGATAGGGTGAACTGGAGAAACTGTTCCCACTGGCGGGTGGGTCGGTAACCCGAGGACACCAATTTAAAATATTTATTAAAATAAACAGAGGGGGGGGGAGGAGAAATGTTTTCACACAACGAGTTGTTGGAATCTGGAATGCATTGCCTGAAAGGCCGGTGGGAACCAATTCCATAACAACTTTTAAGAGAAGTAGATCATTATTTGGGGAGGACAGTGAAAGCATTTCAGACCCGAGTGGAGGGGAAGGGGGGGTGACCAATGGCATGATCGAAGAGGAGGGTCTTGAGGCTAAGGAGGGGGTGAGGCGGAGTAACTGGGGGATGGAGTTCCAGAGGTTGGGGGCAGAGTGGCTGAAGGCTCTCCCGCCAATGGTGGGGCGGGTGGGTCGGGGGACATCGATCAGACCAGAGCCGGCTGAGCGGAGGGAACGGGCGGATTGGTAGGGGGTTAGGAGGTCACAGAGGAAGGGTGGGGCGAGGCAATGGAGGGGTTTGTAGGTGAGGACCAGGATCTTGAACTGGATCCCCTGAAGGATAGGGAGTCAATGGAGTCGAGCGAGAATGGGGGCGATGGGGTCACGGGGTTGGGTTGAAGGGAGAGTGGGCGCCATGGGGTCACGGGGTGGGGGCTGTGGGGGGGGGGTCACGGGGTGGGGGGGCTGTGGGTCAGGGTCACGGGTGGGGCTGGGGGCTGTGGTTGGGGGTCACGGGGTGGGGTGGGGGCCGTGGGGGGGTCACGGGGTGGGTGGGGGCTTTGGGGGGGTCACAGGGTGGGGTGGGGGAGGCTATGGGGGGGGTCACGGGGAGGGGTGGGGGCTGTGGGGGGGTCACGGGTGGGGTGGGGGCTGTGGGGGGTCACGGGGTGGGGGGGCTGTGGGGTGGGGGCTGTGGGGGGGTCACGGGGTGGGCTGTGGGGGGTCACGGGGTGGGCTGTGGGGTGTTCACGGGGTGGGGTGGGTGGGCTGTGGGGGGGTCACGGGGTGGGGTGGGTGGGCTGTGGGGGGGTCACGGGGTGGGGTGGGGCCTGTGGGGGGAGTCACGGGGTGTGGTGGGGCTGTGGGGGGGGTCACGGGGTGGGTGGGGCTGTGGGGGGGGGGGTCACGGGGTGGGGGGGGTCACGGGGTGGGGTGGGGCTGTGGGGGGGTCACGGGTGGGGTGGGGCTGTGGGGGGTCACGGGGTGGGGGAGGTCACGGGGTGGGGGGGCTGTGGGGGGGTCACGGGGTGGGCTGTGGGGGGGTCACGGGGTGGGGTGGGTGGGCTGTGGGGGGATCACGGGGTGGGGTGGGTGGGCGGGGTCACGGGGTGGGGTGGGGCTGTGGGGGGGGTCACGGGGTGGGGGCTGTGGGGGGGTCACGGGGTGGGGGGGCTGTGGGGGGTCACGGGTGGGGTGGGTGGCTGTGGGGGGTCACGGGGTGGGGTGGGGCTGTGGGGGGGTCACGGGGTGGGGGGCTGTGGGGGGGTCACGGGGTGGGGGCTGTGGGGGGGGTCACGGGTGGGGGCTGTGGGGGGTCACGGAGTGGGGGCTGTGGGGGGGTCACGGGGTGGGGGCTGTGGGGGGGTCACGGGGGGGGCTGTGGGGGGTCACGGGTGGGGGGGCTGTGGGGGGGTCACGGAGTGGGGGGCTGCGGGGGGGTCACGGGGTGGGGCTGTGGGGGGGTCACGGGGTGGGGTGGGGGCTGTGGGGGGGTCACGGGGTGGGGGGGCTTTTTGGATTAGTTTTTGAATTTTTTGGGTGTAAAAAAAGGCATAAAAACCCGGAAATGGTCAAGGGTCAAAAACCGGAAGTGATGGGACTGACGGGTAATCAGGAGGAACCGGAAGTGATGGGGCGTGGCCGGAAGTAGTCGAGGGGCGGACACGTTGCTATGACAGCGGCGACCGGTCTGACAGCACAGAGAGAAAATGGTGAGAAATAAACAGAGAGAGAGAGTGTGTGTGAGAGAGAGTGTGAGAGAGAGTGAGTGTGAGAGAGAGTGAGTGAGAGAGAGAGTGTGAGAGAGAGTGAGTGTGAGAGTGTGAGTGTGAGAGAGTGAGTGAGTGAGAGAGAGAGTGAGAGAGTGAGTGTGAGAGAGTGAGATAGAGAGAGTGAGTGAGAGAGAGTGAGAGAGAGTGTGAGAGAGAGAGTGTGAGAGAGTGAGTGAGAGAGAGAGTGTGAGAGTGAGAGAGAGAGTGTGAGAGAGAGAGTGAGTGTGAGAGTGTGTGAGAGAGTGTGTGAGAGAGTGAGAGAGAGAGTGTGAGAGAGAGTGTGAGAGAGAGTGAGAGAGTGTGTGAGAGGAGTGAGAGAGAGAGTGTGAGAGAGTGTGTGTGAGAGAGAGAGTGTGTGAGTGAGTGTGAGATGAGGTGAGAGAGTGACGGACGGACGGAGAGAGAATGAAGCAGTGGAGCAGTTGGTGACGGTGGTGTCCTCCCAGATGCTGTCACGGGCCAAACCGGCGGTGAGTGGGGAGACAGCGCAGCCGGACAGGAGGCGGAGGAGAGGCAGGAAAATCCCCAAACTGGAGGAGTATCTCACAGCCAGAGATTACTGTGGGGCCCTGACCCTGCTCGAGGTCCGTCACTCACACTCACTCACTCACTCACTCACTCACACACACTCTCACACCCATTCACACTCTCACACACACTCTCACACTCACACATACTCACATGCGCAGACTCTCAAACTCCCTCACACACTCTCTGTTTTGCTCTCACACACTCTCTCACACACTCACATTCTCTGTCTCGCATACCCTCTGTTTCACACTCTCATTCTCCCTCTCTCACACAGTCTTACTGCCTCTTTCTCACACACACACTCACTCACACTCACTCTCACATACACAGACTCTCTTACACTCCCTCACACACTCTCAGTCTCGCGCTCACACACTCTCTCACACACTCTTTCTGTCTCACTCTCACACACTCTCTCATTCTTCCTCTCACTCTCACACAGTCTTACTGCCTCTATCTCACACACACTTACACTCTCTCTCACACACACACTCTGTCTGGCTCTCACACACTCACATTCTCTCTCACACACTCATATTCTCTCTCACACACACACTCTGTTTCCCTCACACACACACACAAACACACACTAATACAGAGTGTACAAGTGTGTGAGTGTGCAATAGTGTTCAAGGGTATGTGTGAGAGAGTGTATGAGAGAGAGCGTGAGTCTCACACTCTGCCCCATTTTTCCCCCCAGTTCAAGCGCCATGTGGGGGAGAAGGAGGATGATATTGATTTGTGGATGGGATACTGCGCTTTCCACCTTGGAGACTACAAGAGGGCAATGGAGGTAAGGGGCGCCCCTGCCCGCAGTGTGCCACTGGTGTGTGAGGACAATCTCACGGTCATTGAACATACGTTGCTACTCTACACCGGTGTCCTGACCAACACATCCCAGATATAATCGCTCGCTTCGTGGCTGTTTGTGGGACGTCGCTGTGTGCAAAATAGTCACTACGTAATAGTGAAGCACTTTGAGGCATCCTCCCAATGTGAAAGGTGCTCTAAGAATTAAATGAATCCCCCTCCCTCTGTGCTCCTTTCCTCCTCTGCCTCGCCCCCTCTATATCCTCATTATTATTATAATAAGGCCAATTTATTTATTCGTTTATTTTTTAAGGGATTATTACCCCCGGAAAGCGATCAGCGACTAACGACGGGTTCTTACTTACTGCTGATAAAAACAGAGGCATGTGTGTGTGTGGAGTAAGGTAACTTGTCCACCATTTCGCCCTGCCCGAAACCAGGTCATCTCGTTTGCGAGGCAAGGGCTCTAACCACTAGGTTAAGGGACTCCACATTTACTGTTACCGTACTTGCTTGTGTTTCAGGAGTATGAGTCTCTCACTAAGAAGGATGACTGTCACCCTGATGTCTGGGTTGACCTGGCCTGCACACACTTTTTCCTGGGGATGTACAAGGAGGCTGAGGAGGCCGCAACAAAAGGTCAGTGCGTACAATCTATCGGAGGCAGCAGCGTGATTGTGAGCGAGGGATTTTATTTGAGGGATTATTGGTCAGAAGAGAGAGAGAGTGAGAGAAACTCCCTTCTCTTTTCAAACAGCCCACGGGATCTTTAATGTCCACCTGAACAGGCAGACGGGGAGTGAGGTTTAACGTGTCATTTGAATGACGTCACTTACAACATTACAACACTCCCCCCAGCGCTGCATTGGAGTGTCAGCTCAGACCATGAGTTTGTATCGTTGTTTTGTTACCTGTGATTCCTGTGTCTTTCAGCTCCTAAAAGTCGGCTTCAGAATCGGCTGTTATTTCACCTGGCTCACAAGGTAAGTTATAGTGTTCCTTGTTCTTGGTCTTTCACATCAGGAGGATGTCTCAAAGCTCTTCACAGGACATACTGGAAAGTGTAGTGACTGTGGGTATAGTAGGCAAATGCAGCAGCTAATTTGTTCTCAAATATCTCACAAACAGCCGTGGATCGAGTGACCAATTTTATTTGGGGGATTGTCAGTCAGGACAACAGGGAGAGAATCTCTCTTCTCTTTTTACCACCAGCGCCTGCGGGGAGCGTGAGGGCCCAATCACTGGTTGTCCAGAGCCTTGGGACGTCCTCCCAACATATAAAGCGCTTCACAAATGTAATTTGTTGTGGTATAAATAAATGCAAGTTGTTGTAGTTGCCACCTGGGAGTCAGAGAGGGTGTGATTCCCCATTAAACCCTTCGGGGGGGCTGTTGCTCTTGGAGCCTGATGTAAAGAGAAGTGAGTTTCTTTCTCTCCCCCAGTGCCCTGACCAACAATCCCCCACTTCACATCCCTCAGTCACTTCACGACGGTCTGTGGGACGTCGCTGTGCGCAGTTTGGCTGCCGCCTTCGTCAACAAAACACGCAGTCAATTCATCTGATAGTAGATAATAATCCTTTGGTACAGCACCTTTCACGTTGGGAGGACGTCCTAAAGTGCTTCACAGGATTTACCATAAAGTGGAGTGACTTGTAGACTAACTCGGCAGACAATTTGCGCACATCAACGTCACACAGCCATAAAGTTAAAACATGAAGCGTTTTGTGTCATCCTCCCGACTTGAAAGGAGCTGAATAATACTACTAATAATAATCCTTTGCATTTGATACGGCACCTTATCACGTCTTCGAGACTTCTCAAAGCGCTTCACAAAATATACTGTAAAGTGGAGTGACTATATTTTGTGGGTGAAACGCGGCAGCCAATTGCGCACAGCAGCGTCCCACAAACAGTCATGGATTGAGGGAACAAATCATTATTATTTTGGGACGAAGGAATTATTACCCCTGGAAAGCGATCCTCCAATCGGCTAATAACTGGGTTCCTACTGACTGCTGGTAAACAGAGGCGTTTAGCGAGGCTTGGAGCAAGGAAACTTGCCTAAGGTTTCACCCTGCCCGGGAATCAAACCCAGATCTCTCGCTTGCGAGGCGAGGGCTCTAATCCCTGAGCTAAAGGACTCCTCCTAATGATCAAACCCGAAGACAATTATTCTTATAGTTATTGTATTATTATTATTCATTTGGATTCTGTTGTGCTCACTCCAGTTCAGTGATGAGAAAAGGCTGATGAATTATCACCAGAATCTGCAGGACATCACTGAGGACCAGCTCAGCCTGGCTTCCATCCATTACATGCGCTCCCACTACCAGGAGGCCATCGATATCTACAAGCGCATTCTGCTCGATAACAGGTAACCCTTCACCCTGATTATAGAACCACATATGACTTACAGGGATTACCGGTGTCAGCCTGGCTCACTCACACACTCTCTGGCCTCCGAGGCACAAGGTTGTGTGTTCAAGTCAGAGTCTCTGAGCTCACAGTCTTAAGCCCGAGAGCTCCACCTGGCACCGAGAGCCGATCAGGAGAGCGTCACTGGGATGACCAAAGGCACGATCAAAGAGGTGGGTCTTGCGATGGACATTGAGGGAGGGAGGGAGAGCTCAGTGATGTCCCACAGACAGCCATATAAATGCAAGTCCTGGTGACGCTATGGAGGCGCTATGTAAAGATTATTATTAATAATAAGTTGTGGTTGTTTTGTAGGGAGTTCATGGCTCTGAATGTGTACGTGGCTCTGTGCTATTACAAACTGGATTATTACGATGTGTCCCAGGAGGTGCTGGCGGTTTATCTCCAGCATTTCCCCGACAGCACCATCGCTCTCAACCTGAAAGCCTGCAACCACTTCCGTCTGTACAACGGCAAGGCAGCTGAGGTACACACACCTCAACAACAACCACAACAACTTGCATTTCCACACAGGGTAGAGTTTTGGGACCACTTAACAGTGGCGGAGCCCAAAGCTGAACTGGGGAGGAGGGGGAGGAGCCCAGTCGTAAACACAGTCGCAGAGGAAGATGTTCAGACAAAATCTGAAAATGGCGAAGGAGGGATTAAGGGGAGAGAGTGACAAGAGTTTCAGGGCGCAGTAGCTGAAAGCACGGCTACCGATGGGCATGAGGGACATGCAGGAGGTCGGAGCCAGTCCAGCGGGGCCAGCGGATGGTGGGTTACGGAGCGAGCAGGTCAGAGAGGTAGGGAAGTGCCAGGGCATTAAGGGATTTGTGTCTCGTTTGAGTGAGAGTATCTTGAAGTCAATCCCTTCTGTGATAGGGAGCAGTGGAGACCTGCGAGGGTTGGGGTGATGGGGTACAGAGTAACAATCCGCTAACACAATGGGTCACTTACTTTATATCTGTCTGGGGGATTAGTGGGGTGGTGGGTGGGGCAGGAGCGGGTCAGAGAGGTCGGGAGGGGCCGGGGCCTGAAGGGTCAGTAAATTTGAAGCCGGGGGCGAACGTCAGTGTTGGGGCTGAAGTGTGTGGACTGTGCCCCTGTGTGCTGGGGAGAGACTCAGTGAGTGTGCATGTGGCTGGGCTGGTGTGTGTGTGTCGCTGTGGGGTGTGTGTGTGTGTGGCTAGCGTGTGTGTGTGGCTGGTGTGTGTATGTGGTTGGTGTGTGTGTGTGGCTGGTGTGTGTGTGTGTGTGTGTGTGGCTGGTGTATGTGTTGCTGTGGTGTGTTTTGGGTGTGTGTGTGGCTGTGGGGTGTGTGTATGTGGCTGTGGGGGGTGTGTCGCTGTGGGGAGTGTGTCGCTGTGGGGGGTGTGTCGCTGTGGGGGGTGTGTTGGGGGGGGGTGGGGGGTGTCGCTGTGGGGGAGGTGTGTCGTTGTGGGGGGCTATGAACATGATGTGCTGTGTGCTGCCCACAGGCTGAGCTGAAGAACCTGATGGACATCGCATCTCCGGTCTTTGATTTTGCCAAAGAGCTGATTAAACACAACCTGGTGGGTGCTGGGCCGGGGTGGGGCCGGGCCGGGGTGGGGCGGGGCAGGGACGGGACTGGGGAGGGCGGGATCTTGTTTGGGTGGGCAGGGCCTTGGTTAAGAGGGGAGGGGCATAACCAGGAGGGGCAAGTCAGGGTCTCACAGGGGCGGGGCCAGGGGAGAAACATGGCCACAATCACTTATTTACCATCACAGTCGCCCCCCCCCCCCACACACACACACACACTCACAGAGTTTGTCGGAGTCTTTGTCGTGTGTGAGTCTCTGTCACTCTCTCTCTCTGTGATGGCTGTCACTCTCTTTGTGTGATGTCTGTCACTCTCTCTGATGTCTGTCACTCTCTCTGTTTGATGTCTGTCACTCTCTGTGTGTGATGTCTGTCACTATCTGTGTGATTTCTGTCACTATCTCTCTGTGTGTGATGTCTGTCACTATCTCTCTGTGTGTGATGTCTGTCACTCTCTGTGTGTGATGTCTGTCACTCTCTGTGTGTGATGTCTGTCACTATCTCTGTGTGTGTGATGTGTGTCACGCTCTCTCTCTGTGATGACTGTCACTCTCTCTCTGCGGTGACTCAGGTGGTTTTCCGAGGAGGGGCCGGGGCCCTACAGATCCTCCCTCCCCTCATCGACGTCATTCCTGAAGCCAGGCTCAACCTGGTCATCTATTACCTGCGGCAGGGTGAGTATCGCCCTTCCAGCACAGCGCCTCAGAGCACTGCCCAGTGCTGGGGTTGGACACTCAGCAGAAAAGAAGAGGGAGGTAACAACAGGGATTTGGAGAGGTACTCGCCCATACCCATTGGGTAAGAGCAGGTGGAGTGGGACTGATTGGGTATCTCTTCCAAAGAGCCGGCATAGACACGATGGGCCGAATGGCCTCCTTCTGGGCTGTAATATTCTATGACTGTACAGTGACCCTGGGCGCTGTGGAAGCGGTGCGTCTTAAAGTGGGTTTTAAGGATAGATAAAGGGAGGTGGAGGAGTAGAGGTGGAGGGGTAGAGCCACGGAGTTGGTCTATGATGGTGCGTGGACCAAGGGAACAACGGGTCCCGTCTGCACCCTATTCAGGTGGACATTAAAGATCTCCCACTGAGCTGTTGGAAAGGAGATGGGAGTTTTTTTCTCTCTCCTGGTGTCCTGGCCAACAGTCCGCCAGGTAAAATCTCTCGCTCACTTCGCGGCTGTTTGTGGGACATTGCTATGTGCAAATTGGCTCCAAAACATAAACTCTACATGTGACAGTGTTTACTGTGAGGCCCTTTGATGTTTCAACAAATGATTCTCTTACAGATGATGTACAGGAAGCGTATAACCTCATTAAAGATCTGGAGCCAACGACACCTCAGGTAAAACATGCGTCCAACCGATGGGTTTCCGTGTGTGACACACCCGGCCGGTCACGGTGACGGGTGTCCGTGTGGGTCAGACACCCGGCCGGTCACGGTGACGGGTGTCCGTGTGGGTTAGACACCCGGCTGGTCACGGTGACTGGTTTCCGTGTGTGTCAGACACCCGACTGGTCACGGTGACGGGTTTCTGTGTGTATCAGACACCCGACTGGTCACGGTGACGGGTTTCTGTGTGTATCAGACACCCGGCTCAGGGATATAGTCTCATTTGTAAGGTACTAAGGTTTTCTTTCTCCCTCTGGCTAGGAATACATCCTGAAGGGTGTGGTGAATGCAGCTCTTGGACAGGAACAAGGTTCAGTGAGTAAAGTGGTTCAAAGCGCTTCACAGGATTCACTGTATTACTGTGTATTTTGTTGGCAAACCGAACCAAACCAGAGACCATCACAGAGGGGGCACTCGATTCCGACAGTCTGTTGCCAAGAATGTCACTCGACTCAACTCATCTCCAAGGAGATCTCTCTTACTCCTCCCCCACACACCCGAGGAGGAGAGGCACTAGTTGGTTATTTGACAACGTGGGTTTGAGCCTCACTGGGGGGAAATGGCAGGTACCAGAAACTCCCTCTGAGCTTCCTGGTGGGCAACACACTCAGCCTGAAATATGTCCATCTCCCTCCCTGCCCACAGCTCGGCCACACATCGAGGTTTGCTCCTGGATTACCTCTTACCACTACTGACCACCGTCCTCTCTCTCTCTCTCTTTCCACAGCGCGAACATCTGAAGATCGCACAGCAGTACTTCCAGCTGGTGGGGGGGTCAGCCAGCGAGTGTGGTAAGTCACTGCCTGGCCAGAGAGCAGTGTGTGAGCATGGGGGTGGGGCCAGGAGGGTAGGGTTGGGGCCAGACGGGTGAGAGTGGGGCCAGGAAGGTGAGGGTCGGGCCAGGTGGGTGAGGGTGGGGCCGGGCAGGTGGGGGTGGGGCCAGTCCACTGGAGGCAGAGCCAAGTCATTGGGTGGGGGGGAGAGCGAGGCCACTGGGATTAGGGCCAGGCTGCTGGGGGTGTTGGGAGGGTGTCACAGCTAACCTGTGGTTGTGTTACAGACACCATCCCCGGACGCCAGTGTATGGCCTCCTGTTTTTTTCTGCTGAAGCAGTTTGAGGATGTTCTGATTTACCTGAACTCTGTCAAGGTCAGCCCCAGCTCAGCCCCATCCCAGCTCAGCCCCAGCCCCAGCTCAGCCCCATCCCAGCTCCGCCCCAGCCCCAGCTCAGCCCCAGCTCAGCCCCATCCCAGCTCCACCCCAGATCAGCCACAGCCCCAGCTCCGCCCCAGCTCAGCCCCATCCCAGCTCAGCCCCAGCTCAGCCCCATCCCAGCTCAGCCCCAGTCCCAGCCCCAGCTCAGCCTCAGCTCAGCCCCAGCACAGCCCCAGCCCCAACTCAGCCCCAGCCCCAACTCAGCCCCAGCCCCATTTCAGCCCCAGCTCAGCCTCAGCCCCAGCTCAGCCCCAGCCCCAACTCAGCCCCAGCCCCAACTCAGCCCCAGCCCCATTTCAGCCCCAGCTCAGCCTCAGCCCCAGCTCAGCCCCAGCCCCAGTTCTGCCCCAGCCCCAGCTCACACAACAGTCTGTTTTATTGTCCTTTACCTCCTCCCCACCTCCCACCATTCACATGTGAAAAGTTACATCCATATGGTATGGATACAGGTCATTCCCCCCAATGCTCGGGTCATGACCCAACTGTGCAGCGCCTTGGGACGTCCTCCTGACGTGAAAGGCGCTTTATAAATGGAATCTTGTTGTTGTTGTATTCCCACCAACCAGCCCATAACAGCCTTCTATTCCCCTCTCCCATACCCCCAATTCCCCTCTCCCACACCCCTCTATTCCCCCTTCCTTTACCCCTCTATTCCCCTCTCCTTTACCCCTCTATTCCCCTCTCCTTTACCCCTCTATTCCCCTCTCCTTTACCCCTCTATTCCCCTCTCCTTCACCCCTCTATTCCCCTCTCCTTTACCCCTCTATTCCCCTCTCCTTCACCCCTCTATTCCCCTCTCCTTCACCCCTCTATTCCCCTCTCCTTCACCCCTCTATTCCCCTCTCCCGCACCCCTCTATCTCCCCCCCCCCCCCCCACACCCCTCTATTCCCCTCTCCCACACCTCGGTTCCTGGGCTATAAATACACACCGTGAAGCTCTTTGAGACATTGTATAAAATGTGAGGACCGCTCTTGTCGTTCTGCTGTGTGGTGTGTTGTGGTGAAGAGAGTGGTTGAGCCTTACACCTGTACCTGTGTGACTGTGTGACTGTGTTTCCTCTCAGAGCTACTTCTATAACGATGATCTCTTCAACTTCAACTATGCCCAAGCCAAAGCAGCCGTGGGGAACTTCAAGGAGGCTGAGGAGGTAGGTGTCAGGCACTCATCATTCAAGTTCGCTCACTCGCGCTTTCGCTTCCAAATCAGAAGGTTGTGGGTTCAAGCCCCTGCATCAGGGACTTTGAGCTCATAGGCTGGGTTGCTCCAACGCAGTGCTGGTTAAACTCAGGTGCCATCTTTTTCTGTCCGTATAATGGGATCTTTTACGTCCTTATATTTGTTAGAGCCTTATCACGTCATCAAGACGTCTCAAAGCGCTTCACACGGTACACTGTAAAGTGACTGTATTTTGTGGATGAATGTGGCAGCCAGTTTTGCTCACAGCAACATCCCACAACCAGTCGTGGAATGACAGATCAATTTTATTTGGGGGATTGTCAGCCAGGAAACTGGGAGAGAGAAACTCCCTTCTCTTATCGAATATCACCGCAGGATCTTTAATGTCCACCTGAACAGGCAGACAGACCTCGAAGGACAGCACCTCAAATAATGCAACACACTCCCCAGCACTGCACTGGAGCATCAACTTAGACTGTGTGAGCTCAAGTCCTCACATGGGGCTTGAATCCACAACCTTCTGACTCAGAAGCCAGTGTGCTGCCAACTGAGCCAGGGTGACACGTCACATTCTCTCTGGAGAACTTTTGATGCTATAGGCACAATATCATTATTAAGCTTATTACATTAAACGTTGTGTGATCACACTGAGTGTTTAGATGTAAGGTGCTGCACAGTGGAACAGGCAATGTGTATGAACAAGGCAAGGGATCGGGTGGTGATATAAGCTCTTGGCTGAGAGACCGTCTCTACGGGGAGTCCTGTAGCTCAGTGGTTAGAGCACTCGCTTTGCAAGTGAGAGACCTGAGTTCAATTCCAGGCAGAGGGCGAATCCTTGGGCAAGTTTCCTTACTCCACACAGAGCCTAATAATAATCCCTCCAAAACCAAAAACAATAATAAATTGGTCATTTTCAATCTACGGCTGTTTGTGGGACATTGCTGTGCGCAATTGGCTGCCGCGTTCGCCCACAAATATACAGTCAATTCACTTTACAGTGTGTTCTGTGAAGCGCTTTGGGACGTCCTCCCGACGGGAAAAGCGCTACATCAAATGCAAGGATTATTATTATTATTATTATATTACGTGAAACTGCTGAACAGCTCAAGGCTATTTGGTTGTGACAAGTAGATCAGAATTTCCAGCAATAATGTTGTCCATGATATCTGGTCCTTATTCTTCATCTAACTCCCAATGTCATGGTTAGGGTTAGCTCACAATAACACAGCGCTCCTCACGCAGAGTAGGGTCTCAGAGCCCTTAGCAGTGGCAGAGCCGGGGAGGAAGGAGGTGACCGTAAGCACAGTCAAAGAGGCAGGTCTTCAGGCGTGACCTAAAAAAGGGGAAGGAAGGAGTAAGGCGGAGGGATTGAGGGAGAGAGCGACAGAATCTCAGGGCGTAGTGGCTGGAAGTGTGGCCGCCGATGGTGGAGCCAAGGGTGCGAGGGACATGCAGGAGACCAGAGGCAGCCGAGCGATGGAATGCGGAGTAAGCAGGTGGAGAGGCATGTAACTAACACCCTGGGTCCTGCCCTGCCTGGCCTGCTGCCTCCTCGGGGGGATCCTACAGTGTTACAACACGGAGACTCCCTTCTGCCTTATTGAGTCCAATGTTGTGGAATTCCACCCAGTGAGATTGACACTCAGTCACTCACACGCTAACTGAGGCTGAAGGTTGTGGGTGTGAACACCACGGGGCTTTGGACTCAGACAGTGTAGATACATTAAACATGGCTGAAAGTCTGGTCAAAGAGGAATGTCTGAGGTGATTTTGAACGAGGTGAGGGAAGGTGTGAGATGAAGGGATTGTGGGATGGAGTTCCAGAGAATGGATCCATGTCTAACTTGTGCCTGTTTCTCCCCAGGTTTTCCAGCTGATCCAGAGTGAGAAACTGAAGAATGACTACACGTACCTCAGCTGGTTGGCTCGTTGCTGTGAGTGATATTTAGGATGTCTCAGGAGCTCAGCCGGGGCTGTGTGGGGTCAGGGAAGGGAAAACTAGCCTGGCTTCCTGCTCCTGGTCCCACTAGAGCATCTTCTATTGGTTGGGGTTGCTGAGCGAGCACCAGCCGGCTTCAAGTCCCCAGCCTTATCCACCCTATCATTGATATGGGAGCTTTCAGACGATCTGGCCCTGATAATGTGTCTCTGTGTGTATCCCTCTCCCCCTTCAAGCCTCTAACCTTGCATTCGATATCGGTCAAATTACGTCTTCGAGAAGTCTCAAAGTGCTTCATAGGATATACTGTAAAGTGTAGTGACTGTATATTTTGAGAGCGAAACGCAGCTCTCAATTGCACACAACAGCGTCCCATACAAACCCAGGTCTTTTGCTCGAGAGGCGAGTGCTCTAACCACTGAGCTACAGTTTTCACTCCCAGATGGTTAGGATATGGATATGCGAGGAGCAGTGATTGAGGCCGAATCCATACTGGTCTTGAAGAGGGGAACTGGACAAATAGCTAAGAAAGGTCAGCTACAGGGGTGTGGGGAAAGGACGGGGAAGTGGGACTGAAAGGATTGCTCTTGCAGGAGTCAGCACAGACACGCTGGCCCGAATGGCTTCTTCTGGGCTGTAAATTTTTATGGTTTGATATGTCCTGCCGACAATTCCCCCAATAAAATTGTGAGTTCACTTCACAGCTGTTTGCGGCTTTTGGGTTCGCCCACAAAATACAGTCATTGTACTTTACACTGAATCCTACGAAGGGCTTTGTATGAAGATGTCCTCCATACATGAAAAGTCCTGGATCACTGCTATTGTCAGGATTATTGCTATTGTACAGTAATGATTGTTACAAACCTCACAGACATTATGAACAAGAAGCCGAGGCTGGCCTGGGAGCTTTACCTGAAGATGGAAACCTCTGGGGAGTCCTTCAGCCTCCTGCAGCTCATAGCCAACGACTGCTACAAAGTGAGTGGAAATTGTGCCTCGAGGCTTAGAAATGTGTCACAAGACGGTGGGTTCAAGCTGGATATCAGCTCCAGGGGATAGGGCAGGATTGTGGGTTTGAACGTCAGCTTGCTCTGAGACCTGGTGCAGACTTGATGGCCCAAATGGCCTCTTTCTACGCTTTAAACGTTCTATTTTTATTCAGGGAATTATTAGCCACAAGTAATACCGTGAGAATGTGAGTCACTGAGCCACAAGCTGACACCTCTCTCTCGCTCTCCCACAGATGGGACAGTTCTATTACTCAGCTAAAGCCTTTGATGTGCTGGAGCGCTTGGACCCGAATCCGGAATACTGGGAAGGCAAGCGAGGAGCATGTGTGGGCATCTTCCAGATGATCGTCGCTGCACGGGAACCCAAGTGAGTCTCAGCAGCGCTTTCCCAGCGGGAAGCTTACTGGACAATAATTAATTAATGCTCTGGATGCCGAGCTAAGGCCGGGCTGTCAGCTCAGAGTCCCGATGTTGGGCTTGAACTCAGTGCTCAACAACAACAAATTTGTATCACGCCTTTCACATCAGGAAGACATCCCAAGGAGCTGGACAGGGTTTACATCCGAGCTGGGAGTTGGAGGGCAAGAGGAGGAGGGAAGGTGACCGAAGATCCGGTCAAAGAGGAAGGTCTTGGGACTGAAGTAGGCAAGGGATGGGCAGTGCAGAGGGGCTCTAGGATGGGGGCAGAAAGGCTGAAGGCCCAACTGTCAACGGTGGAGCAGGCCAGTGCCAGCCAAGCAGAGGAAGGCAATAGGTTGGTGAAGCTTTAATAGGTCCCAGAGATGATGATGATAATAATAATAATAATAATCCTTCCATTTGATATAGCGCTTTTCACGTCTTCTCGACGTCTCAAAGCGCTTCACAGAATATACTGTAAAGTGAATTGACTGTATATTTGTGGGCGAACGCGGCAGCCAATTGTGCACATCAGCGTCTGTCCCACAAACAGTCGTGGATTGAAATGACCAATTTATTATTTTTGTTTTGGAGGGATTATTATTAGGCGTGTGGAGTAAGGAAACTTGCCCAAGGTATCGCCAATAGGGAGGAGCAAGACCATGGAAGGCTTTGAAGGTGAGGACAAGGATCCTGAACTTGATCCTCTGGGTGATGGGGAGGCAGTGAAGCTGGGCGAGGATGGGGGTGATCAGCTCATCAAGCTTAGTGCGAGGAAGCTCAGAGGAGAGAGTGCTAGCAACTGAGCTTACTCCCGTCAGAATCTTCCCACCACATGAGGGAGAGGGGAATAGAAGAGTAATGGAGGGGAAGGGGGAGACTTGTGCGGAGGTCTGGTTGGGCTGAGTGGCCTGTTTCCCTGCTGTACGCTCGGTGTAAATCAATGTGAATTCCATTACTTCCTCCTCCCAGGGAAACCATGCGGGAAGTTATCCATCTCCTGCGGAATACTGGCAATCCCCAGGTGGAGTACATTATCCGGACCCTGAAGAAGTGGGCCAAAGATAACAGAGTGGCCGTGTAGAGAACAGGCAGAGAGACCCCAGGTCCTGCTCGTTCCAGACGTGATCCAGGCCAAACAGTCATTGTTCCTTGTCTTTTAATAATTACTATTGTTACGTGGTCCACATCCTGTCCTACCTACATTATGGCTTCCCATATCGCTCTATCGCTCTCATTCTCTCTCTCTCTCTCATTCTCTCTCTCTCTGCCACGCGCTCTCTGTCTCGCTCGTTCTGTCATGCTTTTTCTCTCTCGCCTTCTTTCTCGTATTGTTTCTATTTTGTACACTTTCTCTCTTACCCTCTCTGTTTTACGTTCTTTCTGTGTCACAGTCTCTCTCTCTCTCTCTCTCTCTCTTTGTTGCTCTGAGAAAGCTCAGTTGTTGAAACTCTCTCCTCTTGAGTTTCCTCGCACTAAGCTCCGTGAGCTGATCACCCGCATCCTCCAGAGGATCCCATCCCCCAGAGGATCTTTGTCCTCACCTGTCTCTCCCTCTCTCTCTCTGTCGCGCTCTCTCAGTCGCGCTCTCTCTTCCCATCTCTATCTTTCTGTCAGTCTATCTCTCTCTGTCTAACGCTCTCCGAGTCTCTGGTGGAGCTCAGTAAGTTTCTGTCAAGTCTGTGTCAAGTCTCGTTCAGGTGCTGATCAGCTGACAGTCAATCCCAAGGTTTTACTTTCGCTTTAGAAGTTAAGACTTGTAAACTATTTATGTAAATAAAGCATTTATTTTTAACACATAAACTGTTGTGGAGGGTTTGCTTAATTGACAGACATTCTTGAATGTCATAATAACCCTTAGAATTATACAGCACAGAAGGAGGCCATTCGGTCCATTGTGTCTGTGCCGCTCTTTGAAAAGAGCTTCCAAATCAACCCCACTCCCCCACTCTCTCCTCATAGCCCTGATCAACCCCACTCCCCCGCTCTCTCCCCACAGCCCTGATCAACCCCACTCCCCTGCTCTCTCCCCATAGCCCTGATCAACCCCACTCCCCTGCTCTCTCCCCATAGCCCTGATTAACCCCACTCCCCCACGCTCTCCCCATAGTCCTGATCAACCCCACTCCCCCGCTCTCTCCCCATAGTCCTGATCAACCCCACTTCCCCCCTCTCTCCCAATAGCTCTGATCAAGCCCACTTCCCCCCTCTCTCCCGATAGCCCTGATCAACCCCACTCCCCCACTCTCCCCATAGCCCTGATCAACCCCACTTCCCCGCTCTCCCCATAGCCCTGATCAACCCCACTTCCCCGCTCTCCCCATAGCCCTGCAAACTTGTCCCCAAACAATTATCTGCTTCTCTCTTAAAAGTTGTTATGGAATCGGCTTCCACCGGCCTTTCAGACAATGCATTCCAGATCCCAACAACCCTCTGTGTGAAAACATTTCTCCTCACCTCTCTGATTCTTTTAACTATTTTAAATCGGTGTCCTCGGGGTTACCAACCCACCCACCAGTGCGAATAGCTTGTTCACCCTATTGAATCCCCTCATCATTTTGAAAACTTCTATTAAGTCTCCTCTTAAGTCTTCTCTGCTCCAAGGAGAATAATCCCGGCTTCTCCGGCCTCTCCTGATAACTGAATTTATGGGGTGAAGTGTTGGGCAAATTTCTTTACTCCACGCACCTCCGTTTACCCAGCAGTAAGTGGGGACCCAGTTGTTAGTCAATTGGCAGATCGCTTTTCTGGGGGATATAATTCCTTCAATAATATAATAATAATTTGGTCACTTCAATCCACGACTATTTGTGGGACACTGCTGTGTGCAAATTGGCTGCCGCGTTTTGCCCACAAAATAGTCACTACACTTTACAGTATATCTTTGAAGCGCTTTGAGACGTCTCAAAGTGGGATAAGGCACTGTGTCAAATACAAGGATTATTATATTGCCTTATATGCCGTTAAGATTTCTCAAAGTGCTTCATACAGTGATTGTGATTGTGTGTATTGTCCATCTCCTCTATGGACCGTTCCCTACGACTGCGTTTTCTGTCATCTTTCCGGCTCCCACCCACAGTCGGGCACCGCGATTATTGTTTAGCGCCTCTGGACCTGAAAGGCACTGTAATGAGTTCCATACGTTGCTGTGGCACTTTGCTTACATTCGTGGGAGCGAGTGATTGATTTTATTTGGGGGATTGTTGGCCACGGAGAGAGAGAGAGAGACCCCCGAGGGATCTCTAACGTCCCCCCAAACAGCGCACAGTGAGGTTTAACGTCTCTTCTGAAGGGACGGCGTCTCTGACAGTGCGGCGCTCTCTCTCTCTCTCTGTCGGCTCAGACTGTGAGCTCACAGACCCCTGAGGTGGGACTCGAACCCACAACCTCCTGACCCAGAAGCCCGAGCGACTGAGCCACAGACTGAGAGCTGGTGACGTCAGGTCAGGGTCGGGGGGGGGGAACGTCAGACAGTGAGTCAGGGACGTCAACGCGCAGGGCAAGTGACGTCAGCGCGGCGGCGGAGGCAGATGAGGCGAGTGACGTCGGACTCGGTAACGCGCGGGGCGGGGGGAGTGACGTCAGCACGTAAGACGAGTGACGTCGCCACAGCGGCACCCGCGCGGGGTGACGTTATCGCGGCGGCGTGCGGTGCGGGTGACGTCCGCGCGTCGGCCACGCGAGTGACGTCAGAAGCGGCAAGATGGCGGCGCTGAGGCGAGCTCGGGACTGAGCGGCGACCAGTGAGGAGCGGGGCCTGACCTGAGCCCGACCCCGGCCATGGCCGAGCCCCGCAGAGTGGCCTTCAGCACCCTGACCTCCCCCGGCCCGGGCCCGCGCCCGGCACCGCCACGCCCCCCGCCGCCCCCGCCAGGAAGAAGCGGCGGGAGGAGCGCGGCGCCAACGGCAATGTCCGGCTGCAGCTGAGCCTGAGTGAACCCAGCGACAGGAGCAGCACCGAGTACAGCTACAGCGAGCTGCTCCGGGAGGCCCGGGTAAGGCCCGAGGGACACCTGGGAAGTACCCCGAGTAATAACTGAGGAACAACTGGAGTCACAGCTGGGAGGATAGTAACAACCCGAGTAACAGTCAGGGAGTAGACTAACACCCCGAGTAATCACCGATAGAGGAACAGCCCAAGTAACAACTACAGAGTAGGATAGCAACTCAAGGGGCTGGAGTAACACCTGAGTAACACCTGAGTAACAGCCAGGGAGTAGAGTTAAGAACTGAGGACTCACTGAGTAACAATTCGAGACTAAAGTAACAACCGAGTACCAGCTGGCGCTGGAGTAACAACTCTTAAGTAACAACTAACAAGTAACAACTCAAGTACAACTGGGAGTAGAGTAACATCCTAAGTAATTCCCTGTAGAACAACTGGGTACTCGAGTAATCACCCAGTTATTAAACTAATTAGACTAAATGAATAGGATAACAACCGGATAAAACCCAAGATTAGAGTAACAACTCAACTGGTGTCCGGAGTAACAACCAGGGCTAGAGTAACAATTCTGAGGGCAGGGAAACAACCCCGAGTAACAAATAGGGACAAGAGTTAAAGGTGAGGATCCCTGGCATATTGGAAGGGAGTTTTCTCCAGCGTCCTGTCCTGGTTGGTTTAGGAAATAATAATAATAATCTTTGAAATTGATACGGCTCCTTGTCACGTCGTTCAGACGACTCAAAGGGCTTTACAGAATATTCTGTAAAGTGCATTGATTGTATTTTGTGGGCGAAACACGGCAGCCAATTATGCACAGCAGTGTCCCCATAAACAGTTATGGATTGTGGGGGGATTATTACCCCTGGAAAGCGATTCGCCCATTGACTTACAACTGGGTTCCGAATATTTACTGCTAGGTAAACAGGCGTGTGGAGTAAGGAAACGCCTACCGGGTCCTCTCGCTTGACTGTCAAATAAGATTATGAAAGGATTCGATAAGATGGATTAGACATTAATATAAGTTGCTTCCACTTTGTGGCCTCATGTTGTGAGTCCATAACAAGAAGTTATAAATATAAGTGAGCCAGTAACAAGTCTGAGAGTTTAGGAGGAACTTCCTTACACACAGGATGGTGATGCCTGGAGCAGTGAGAAATTGTCAGTGTATTTAAGAGGAAGTTTGATGAGACACGAGGCAGGAGGCGAATAGAGGAGTGTGGGAGATGGGAATAGAGGGCGGATCGCTTTTCAGGGATAATAAACCACCAAAAAATTTTTTAAAAAATATTGTCGGTCATTCTGCGACTGTTTGTGGGACGTTGCTGCGCGCAATTGGCTGCCACGTTTCGCCCACAAATACACAGTCAATCCACTTTGCAGTGTATTCTGTGAAGCACTTTGAGACGTCTCAAAGACGTGATAAGGCGCTATATCAAATTCAAGGATTATTATTATTAATTTAATGGCTGTTTGCGGGGACATTGCTGTGTGCAAATTAGCTGCTACGTTCGCCTGCAAAACACACAGTCACTACGCTTTACAATAAATCCTGTGAAACCATTTGAGACGTCCTCCTGAAGATAAAGTTGCTACATCAAATTGTAAGGATTATGTTTTTTCCACACACCTTCAGATCACACTTCACTGTGTCTGTGGTCACCTCCCTTTTCTCCCAAGCTTAGCGTCAATCTATCGAGACACTATCCTATGTAAAACTCGCTATATAAATGCAAATTATTGTTAATACCCTTTGCTTTCCTGTTTTGAGAATTACGTCCATAGAGTTATATTCTTATATCAACTCCACTCAGTCACTAATCTGTACAGTTAACTCCCAGGTATCTCCTTAATTCTGTTTTGTTTCACTCTTTTATTCTTTGAATTATAATAATTGTTCTGTCCCTTTATCATATCAACAGTGCAGGTCTGTAGCATCCTATAATGGTTAGAGCATTTTCCTCGCAAGCGAGAGGATCTGGGTTAGATTCCCGGGCAGAGCGAAACCTTCCTTTACTCCACACAGGTAAACACCTCTGTTTACCTAGGAACCCGGTTGTTAGTCGATCCAGCGCCTTTCATGTCAGGGGGACAAATCAAAGCTCTTCAGAGAGTTTACTGTAATGTGTAGTGACTGTGTTTTGTAAAGTGCAGTGTCAGTGAAATGCAGCAGCCAATTTACACACAGCAAAGTTCCAGGTTTATCAGCAGGTCCTGGAAAGACAGACTAGTTACTGGGGGCAGGGAATCTTCCCACTCGGCTCCTGTTAACCCTGCAACCAAAGCCCTAATGGGTATGGTCCTAGCTGGACAAGCTGCGGGAAAGCTTGCTAGACAGTGCTCTCAATGACCAAGCTATGTGGGTTTTAGCTGGGGTCCTGTAGGTTTTAGCTGGTGGAGTCCTGTAGCTCAGTGGTTAGAGCACTCGCCTTGCAAGTGAGATACCTGGATTAGATTCCTGGGCAAAGCAAAACCTTCCTTTACTCCACACAGTTAAACGCCTCTGTTTACCTAGGAACCCGGTTGTTAGTCGATCCAGGCCGGGAAACCTTAAGCAAGTTTCCTTACTCCACACAGAGCCTAATAATAATCCCTCCAAAACAATAATAAATTGGTCATTTTCAATCTACGACTGTTTGTGGGACATTGCTGTGTGCAATTGGCTGCCGCGTTCGCCCACAAATATACAGTCAATTCACTTTACAGCATATTCTGTGAATCGCTTTGAGACGTCGAGAAGACGTGAAAAGCGCTATATCAAATGCAAGGATTATTATTATTATTAAACTCCCGCAGTTACCCAAGCACACGCTCTGTGGTCCCCAAGTCTTGGCTCTTGCCAGCATGTGCCTGATACTCTCCGGAATTAGGTAAGCAGGATGCATCTCTCCAGGGAGAAAGAGAGAGGGAGTGCATTCCAACAATCTATCTCTGGGATTTCCATGTGTAGGGGGGATTAAGGAATTCTTTGCCTTTGCATGATGATGGGTTTCTGCATGTGTCAGATGCCCGGCTGACCCCAAGAAAATGTTCATTGTTTGGATTCATTGTTCATTAACCAGTGAATTTGGTGCTTCATGGTGTCTGATGAATTATAGGGTGATCCTGTGTCATTGGCCGCACCAAACAATTTTGTGTATAAGCTCGTTTGCCAAGTTGCCACAGCAACTGGTAAAATGATCTTGGGAAAGCTTAAAGCTGAATGAAAGTTGAATCTATTACTGAAGACTGTCACCCACAAGCCGGTCGCTGTGTCAGAGTGCTAGTCAGACTGTACAGCACAGAAACAGGTGGATCCCTTTCCCATCCCCCACCTCCACACAAAATCCAAGACTGTTTGTGGGACAACGAGGTGCGCATTTGGCTGCCGAGTTTCACCCACAAAATACACAGTCACTACACTTTATAGTATATTCGGCGAAGCGGCTCAGTGACTAGTTATCAGGAGTGTTGAGTTAGCCATGTGTATAAATACATCAATAAGTGGGCAGGATATTGACAGGATGATGACTTAAGTGGTAGTTAAGCCAGGGTTGAGTTATCAGAGTTTTACTGTTATCACGTGTCAAAGTGCTTCACAGGATTTACTGTAAAGGGGAGTGACTGTGTTTTGTCGGTGAACGCAGCAGCCAATTTGCGCACAGCAACGCCCTGCAAACAGCCACAAAGTGAGGGCGTGATTTTATTTGGGGGATTGTCAGCCAGGACCCTGGGAGAGAGAGAAGCTCCCTTCTGTTTTGCCAAGGAAACTTTTCACGTCCACCTACACAGACGGGTTTAATGTCTCATCTGAGGGACTGCGCCTCTAACAATGTAGCGTTCCCCCCAGCACTGCACTGGAGTGTCAGCCTGGACGACATGTGAGTTCAAGTCCCAACCTTCTGACTCTGGAGTGAGAGTGCTACCAGGCTGACACACAGATCAATGAGGTGTGCAAATTGACTGGCTATCTGCCTACAAAGTACACAATCACTACACATTACAACATGTCCCATGAAGCCCTTTGAGGTGTCCCGTCGACATGAAAGGTGCTTTATCAAAAGCGAGGATTATTGTAGTCCTGTAGCTCAGGGGTTAGAGCCCTCACCTCGCAAGCGAGAGGAGCCAGGGCAGGGGGCGAAACATTGGACAAACATTTCTCCACACTCCTCTGTTTACCAGCAGTCAGTAGGAACCCAGTTATTAGTCGATGGCAAATACCTTTCCCGGGGGTAATAATCCCTTCAAAATAAAACCCACGACTGTTTGTGGGACACTGCTGTGTGCAATTGGCTGCCACATTTCACCTACAAAATATACAGTCAATTCACTTCACAGTATATCCTGTGAAGCATTTGTAGATGTGATGAGTCGCTATATTGGCGTCTGACATATGCAGAAACCCATCCATGATTAAGAGTCTCAACGCCAGACTAAGCCGTTAGTTCTGCCAGCAGTGATGGGATTTGGAATGCTGCTCTGCGTGTCTCACACGCTTTTATTTGATCCGAACAGAAAAATTCAGCGAATGCCGACGATCCCTTCAACGCCGAGGAAAAGGAGAGGAAGGAAGTGGAGGCATTGGCGAAGAAATTTGAGGAGAAATATGTGAGTTGCGTTACCTTAAATCTCCTTGGACCCCACTCCTCTGCCAGCTCCCTTCACTCAGCTAACACAGCCCTGCCTGTCTCCCTATCCCCTCCATGCAGTCATTGATAACTATCACTCTAGGTTGGTGCAAGTTGTTGGTGCGTGTGTGTGAGGGAGGGGGCACCAGTGAAATTTAATGCACATAAATGCCAAGTTCGACAGGAAAAACAAGTCCATGGATGGGCTAAAACGTGCCAAGCAAGAGAGATCTCAAGATATTGGTTGACTCATCGCTCACTGTGTCAAAACAGTGCGATGCAGAAATAAACAAGGCAAACAGGATTGTGTTGCAAACCAATTGAGTCGCTCCCCAGACGTCAAACTCAGGACTCAGGCTGTACAGTGCTCTTGTCAGTCCTTGGCCCGAGTGCACACACTTCTGGGCACCGAAACACAAGAGGCTGCCCAGGAACTAGCGATAGCACAGAGGAGAGCAAGAAGATGTTAGAGGAACAACCTCTGAGCAATGAACCTGTAGCAAAGGACTCGGGCAGGGCGAACTTTTAGACACGATTCCATTGCCTCTGTTTACCTAGTAGTAAGTAGGGCTAGAGGCAGGGAGTTCTGGAGGTGAGGAGTGATGAATGCCAGTTGTTAGTTGGTTGGTGAATAGTTTTCCGGGTGTAATAATCCCATCAAAATAACTAAATAAAGAAATATTTGGTCACTCAATTCACGACTGTTTGTGGGACGCTCTGTGCACAACTGACTGCTGCGTTTCCCCCACAACATATACACTTTGTAATATATTCTGTGAAGCTCTTTAGACATTTCAACAACATGATGAGGCGCTGTATCAGTCGCAAGGATTATTCTTATTAGACAAGCTTAGGCTCTTCAGTGTTGAGAGAAGGCATCTGAGAGGAGGATCTCACAGAGGTGCGGAAAATTCTAAGGTGTTTCCCAATTTGGGGGAAAATGAGGAAACATGAGAGGACATAAATAGAAAATGCCTTATAGAGGCTGTGTAGGAGAGGAGAATAGAGGGGAATAGAGGGGATAGGGGAATAGTGGGTATGGGAGAGGGGAATAGAGAGTGCGGGGGAGGGGAATAGTGGGGATGACCGTTTGCAGTTGAGGTGCTGAGAATCCCATGTGTGTGAGGTGTGTTGTAGAAATGTCAACTTTGCCTGAGCTGTAGAGAGCAGTGCTGAGCTGCTTAGCAGGTTCCTTCTTAACCTGTTTCCCAAAGAGAAAGTAACTGTGTGACCTGCAGGGACAGAAGAACCACAAGCGGAGGAAAGACCGCATGCAGGACCTGATCGACATGGGGTACGGCTACGACGAAACCGACCCTTTTATAGATAACTCGGAAGCAGTGAGTATCAGCCCTCGCTGAGCCCTGGCAACTCTTCCTATCAGTACATAACAATAACATGATCACTCAATCCACGACTGTTTGTGGGGACGCTGCTGTGCACAATTGGCTGCCACGTTTTACCCACAAAAAATACACAGTCATTACACTTTACAGTATATTCTGTGCAGCGCTTTGAGACATCTCAACATCGTGGTAAGGTGCTATTTCAAATGCAAGGCTTATTATTATTATTCGGTGCTTTTAGTTTTACTTCTCCAGCGCTCTCGCCTCTGAAGCACAAGGTTGTGGGTTCAAGCCCCAGGTTGGAGGACTCTGAGCTCCCAGTCTAGGCTGACCCTCAGCACAGCGCTGGGGTGAGAGAGAGAGAGAGACCGCGCTGCATTAGAGACGCCATCCTTCGGATGGGGACGTTGCTATGCGTAAATTGGCTACCGCGCTCGCCTACAAAACACACAGTGAATCCTGTGAAGCGCTTTGAGACATCCTCCTGACGTGACAGGTTGTAAATTGTGTTGTCGTGCACTTTGAGATATTTTGAAGAAGCCACAGCCAAGTGACTCGAACACAAACAGTGGGTTAGCAGATGTGCGTGTGGTTTTCCTTTCAGTATGATGAGCTGGTCCCAGCCTCTCTGACCACCAAATACGGGGGATTTTACATCAACGCAGGCACGCTGCAGTTCCGACAGACGTCCGACACTGAGGACGAGGACGGCGCAGGGAAGAAGAAGCTGAAGTCACCCAAGGTGAGTGACAGCGTTACAGGAAAAAGTCCTCGGTCTCATCATCCACCCTCTACAGAAGCGCTTTTATTTATGTGTTTATAAATAAATATCTTTTCCCCAGGAGCGACGAGTTTGTAAATTATTTTGTGGGTGAATTATTCCACTAAGTTCGTCACCACGCGAAAGGGAAGCTTTTATAGCCGAGAATATCCGTTAGAGAATAAGTGGCTAAAAATGACATTTGCTTCAGAAACAGAAGTTCAAAGATGGGGAAGACAGGATATCGAAGAAGCAGAAGAGACGGGATGAAAGCGGGATGAAGGACAAGAAGCCGAAGAAACTAAAAGTTTCTAAAGAGTCTGGGTGAGTTTATACTTCATGCTCGCAGTTCCATATCTTTCCATATCTCTCTCTCTCTCTCTCGCTCGTGTGAGCTCTCTCTCTCTCCCTGGTTTGGGAGCCCAGCAGCTGTGTAAAGCTGAGGACCATGACGTGCTTCTCAGGAGTGTGGGAATCGAGCCCAGCCCTCTGTGGCGGTCTCTAGCCCCGGTTCCTGAGCCAGGTAGGTCCACAGTATGCCAGGGCACTCACTGCTGATGACAGCCCGGCCCAGCCTGGCTTCCCTAGGACTGCATTGCAGCATCAGCCTTGCCTACGAGTTCCAAGACTTGGCGTGGGGGTCAGGCCAGGTGCATTGAAGGCCAGGCTTTGTGGCTGGATTGACTTGCTGGTTGACTGAGTTGGCCTAGTCTATTCTCTTCCAGTGTTGTGGCCCTCAACGCATCCAAGGTCTCCAAGAAGAAGCGGAGAAACCACAGCGACTCGCTCTCACTGGCTGAGATGCTGCGGAAATTCCAGAAGGAAAAAGACTCCATGAAGAAGCAGGAGGTGGGGTGAAGCCTACGCCAGGGCCTCAGCAGCCAGACCAGACCCCAAAGAACGCGAGCCTCTCAGACTCCCTCATGCCCACCAACGACCCTCTCCTCTCCATGCTGGGCACTTCCAGTGAGCACGACCTACTGCGGGATGCCTCCACCGCCATTGACCTCCTTGCCGACCTAGACATCGAGAAGCTGCTGGCGGAGACGCCAAGTGGAAGTCCCATCTCCGAGCCCGAGGAAAGCAGCAGCGCTGGTGCCTCCTCCCCCGCCGGCTCCCTGCTCCACACCCCCAGGGACGTGGCCGAGACCCCCGAGGGCTTGCCCACCCCCCTGGAGAAACGCATTGGAGATCTGAAGATGGTACGTGCCCCCCTCTCCCCCCCCCCCCGCCAGCTAGCCGGCACCATTCTGTTTTAATGTGGTTCTCTCCCACCTCACTTCCGCACAAGCTCATCAACTTCACATTACAGACCCCCACTTGCCCCAGCACTGCTCTGAGCTGCTCGGAACCGACTCCTCTGCCCACTCACCTGACACAGGCTCTCTCCACCCCTCTGTGCCTTCAGCCACTATGCCGCCTAACTTCTGGGACTCCCTATATATTCCCGACCACCTCGCTCCCTCTTTATGCCTGTAGCTCAGTGGTTAGAGAGAGCACTCACCTCGCAAGTGAGAGACTTGGGAATTTGATTCCCGGGCGGGTCAGAGTGAAATGTTGGGCAATTTTCTTTACTCCACACATTTCAGTTTGCCCAGCAGTAAATAGGAACCGGTTGATTGGCGGATCGCTGTTCCTTTTTTTCAAAAATAAGTAATAATTTGGTCACTTAATCCTCGACTGTTTGTGGGGGACTGAGTTTCGTCCCCAAATTATCCAGTCAACAAACTTTACAGTATATCATGTGAAGCATCTTGAAGACGTGATCAATTGCTAATATCAAATGTAAGGATAATTATTATTGTTTAAATCCTACTTGAACTTACCTTCTTGGCTGTGCCTGTGGTCCCCTCCTCTCTTTGCTCGGTGCCCAGTGTGTTGGTCACTAACCTGTGTGTGTCTGTCTGTCTGGCCTCAGGCTGCCAAGGTCACAGAGGGCGAAGGAAAGAAGAAATTCTTCACTTCAGATATCAACGCCATCCTTCTGGAGTGAGTATCGCTTTGTGCCTCTGATCTGACTCCTGAACTTCTACAGCCTGGCTCAGTGGTAGCTCTCTCCCAGAGAGTTGTGGGTTCAATCCCCACATCGGGAACTTGGAACCCAAAAAGTCTAGGCTGACGTTCAAATGCAGCGCTGCATTGTTTGACCTTCTGCCCTTCAGATGAGATCTTAAACCAAGGTCCCAGCTGTACTGGTTACAGATCCTGTGGCACTGTTTGAAAAGAGAAAGGAGTTTCTCGCTCTCCCCGACAGTCCCCCAAATAAAATTACTCACTCGCTCCATGGCTGTTTGTAGGACGTTGCTGTATGTGAATTGGCTGCCACATTCGTCCACAAAATACACAGCCTTTAGACCAAGGTCCTGCCTGCCTGTGCTGTGACACTGTTGGAAAAGAGAAGGGAGTTTCTCTCTCTCTCTCTCTCTCTCTCTCTCCCAGTGTCCTGGCCAACAAACCCCAGAATAAAATAACTCACTCACTGCAAGGCCTTTTTGCGAGGCCTCTTGCTATGTGCAGGTTGGCTGCCACGTTTGCCTTCAAAATACAGTCACGACACTTAGAAACATAGAAATCTTTTGCGCAGAAAGAGGCCATTCAACCCATCAAGTCTGCACCACCTCACAGGGCAAGTCCCACTGCCCCGTCTTATACCCTAATCTCTTTCAAATGCCAGTCTCCACCACCCTAGTCGGGAACGTGTTCCACATCCTAGAACATAAGAACATAAGAATTAGGAGCAGAAGTAGGCCATTCGGCCCCTCTAGCCTGCCCCGTCATTCAATAAGGTCATGGTTGATCTATTCTAACTCTACCTGCCCGCCTTATCCCCATATCCCTTAATCCCTTTATCCACAAGAAATCTATCAATCTCAGTCTTGAATATGTTCAAAGACTGAGCATCTACTGCCCTTTGGGGTAGAGAATTCCATCAATTCACTGCCCTCTGAGTGAAGACGTTTTTCCTCAACTCAGTGCGAAAGGACTTACCCCTAATTTTAATACTGTGACCCCTGGTTATAGTTTCTCCAACCAGGGGAAAACGTCTCCCACTATCTATTCTGTCGTGCCCCTTAATAATCTTATAGGTTTCTATAAGATCACCTCTCATTCTTCTATATTCTTCAACCTATCCTCATAACTCATCCCCCCTCACCCTGGTACCAACCTAGTGAATCTACGTTGTACCCCCTCCAAAGCGAGTACATCCTTTCTTAAATAAGGAGACCAAAACTGCACACAATACTCTTGGTGCGGTCTCACCAGAGCCCTATACAGTTGCAGCAAAACTTCCCTACTCTTCTAACCCTTTTGTAACAAATGCCAGCATACTGTTAGCTTCCTAATTGCTTGCTGTACCTGCAAACTAACCTTTTGTGACTGGTGTACAAGGACACCCAAGTCCCTCTGAACGCTAACACTATCTAGCCTCTCCCCTTCTAAAAAAATAATCTACACTACTGTTTTTGCCACCAAGGTGGATAACTTCACACTATACTTCATTATACTTCATCTGCCACCTATTTGCCTTAGCCTATCTTAGCCTATCTATATCTCGTTCCTTTTTTTAATGTCATCCTTGGTGTTTACTTTCCCTCTTAGTCATCTGCGAATTTGGATATATTAAGTTTGATGTCCTAATCTAGATCGTTGATGTAGATTGTAAATAGTTGAGGCCCAAGAACTGATCCTGTGACACTCCACTAGTCACATCCCGCCAATCTGAGAAAGACCCGTTTATCCCTACTCTTTGTTTTCTTCCCGTTACCCATTCTTCAATCCATGCTAATATATTCCCTTTAATTCCATGGGCCCTAATCTTGTGGATCAACTTTTTATGCAGCACCTTATCGAATGCCTTTTGGAAATCTAAATACACTCCATCCACTGATTCCCCCCTATCTAATCTACTTGATATATCCTCAAAAAAATCTAAAAGATTTGTTGAGCATGACTTCCCTTTTGTAAAGCCATGTTGACTCTGTCTAATCATAATGTGATCCTCTAAGTATCCCACTACGATATTCTTAATTAAGGCTTCTAGAATTTTCCCTACCACTGATGTTAGACTGACTGGCCTATAGTTCCCCATCTTTTCTCTCCCACTCTCTTAAATAGTGGTGTGACATTTGCGATCTTCCAATCAATGGGAACCGTTCCAGAATCCAAAGAATTTTGGAAGATCAGACACAAAGCCTCCACTGTCTCATGAGTTACCTCTTTTAAAACTCTAGGATGCAAACCATCAGGTCCAGGGGACTTGTCACTTTTTAATCCCAACAATTTCCCTAACACCAAATCTTTGCTAATGTAAATTTCCCTAAGTTGCTCCCTCTCATTAGCCCCTTGGTTCATCTCTTATTTCTGGTAAACTTCTTGTGTCTTCTAACGTGAAGACAGAAGCAAAGTATTTATTTAGGGACTCTGCCATATCCTTATCCCCCATTACAATTCCTCCTGTCTCTGACTGTAATGGACCCACATTTACTTTTGCTAGCCTATTCTTCTTAATGTATTTATAAAAACTATTACAATCTGTCTTAATGTTCCTAGCGAGCTTGCCCTCATAATCCATTTTCTCTCTCAATGAGCTTTTTGGTTTTCCTTTGTTGATCCCTAAAATACTCCCAGTCCTCAGGTTTGCTACTCTTTTTGGCAGTTTTATAGACCTTTTCTTTTAGTTCAACTGCTCTAGTTAGCCACGGATGAACTGCTTTCCCTGTGGTACTCTTATTCCTCAACCACTCTCTGGGTGAAAGAACTTCCTAAGTTCCCCTTTCACTCTTCTTGTGCCTAGCTTATAACTATGTCCTCTAGTCACTGACTCCCCTATCAGTGGAAATAACTTCTTCCTATTTATTCTTTTCAAAACGCCTCTTGATTTTGCACACCTCTCTAAAGCAGTACTCGATAATAAATCGTGTGAAGCGCTTTGAGACATCCCCAGAGGTGAAAGGCTCTGTATTAAATGTCGGGCTTGTTTTGCTTGTGGCTGATGGAGAATTTTGTTGGTCTGCGCACAGTATTGAACTGCAGGTACAGGAGTTGAGTCTGAACGTGCGGACGGGAGTCTACGCCTATCTGGTCTCCTTCATGCCCTGCAGTAAGGACGCCCTGATGAAACGACTGAAGAAACTTCACCTCAACGAGCAGGTGAGTCCTGGGCCCAGTTCCCAAAACCACTGCCTCCCATTTTATGACTGTTTGTGGGACATTGGAAAATTGTGTACAGAATTGTTTTCACCTAAAAAATACCAATTCACTGCACTTTACACCAAATCCATTAAGATGTCCTTCCCAATATGAAAGACGTAAAGATTATTATTATTTTGAGGCACGCCCCTCTCCACAGGGATGGGTGTCGTTTGCTAAGGGAAATGGGGATAGGATTTTTATCTCAGTCAGTGAGTCTGACACACGTGGAAACCCTTATCGTGATCAGCTGGGTGTCTGACACAAGCGTAAACCCGTCACCATACAAACCAGACTGATAGTTCCATGTCGTCACCAACAAGTAGAGATTCCTGTGTCTCGAATGGTATACACACTCTCTCCCTGGAGGGTCACATCCAGCTTACTCAATTCCGGACAGTATTAGATGCAGGTTCGCAAGAGCCAAGACTTGGGGAGAGACCAGACTTAGGGTAACTGCTGGACTCTGATTGACTAAAAGTCATAGCTCGCCATTGAGAGCGTTGCACAGAATGGTACGGCCAAATGTCCACGCTGTATATTTGTAGAGATATATAGAAGGGTTATTACTGAAATGGCTGGTGTGGTTGGGTGGGGTGATGGCTGGTGTGGTTGGGGGGTGGGGTGATGGCTGGTGTGGTTGCGGGGGTGATAGCTAGTGTGGTTGGGGGGGGGTGTGATGGCTGATGTGGTTGCGGTTGTGATGGCTGGTGTGGTTGGGTGGGGGGTGTGATGGCTGATGTGGTTGGGGTTGTGATGGCTGGTGTGGTTGGGGTGTGTGATGGCTGGTGTGGTTGGGGGTGTGATGGCTGGTGTGGTTGGGGGGTGTAATGGCTGGTGTGGTTGGGGGTGTGATGGCTGGTGTGGTTGGGGTGTGATGGCTGGTGTGGTTGGGGGGGGGTGATGGCTGGTGTGGTTGGGGGTGGGGGGTATGATGTCTGGTGTGTGTGGCTGAGGCTGTGACTCCCCCCCCCCCCCCCCCCTCAGGATGAGCGCCTGCGGGAGCCGATGCAGAAGTTGAAAGAAGCCGTGGGGAAGGTGATGCCCGAACAGATACTGAGATTCCAGGAGGAGCTACAGGCCCACACCCAGGCCAGGTTTGCCAAGTATGTCCTCCTGGCCCTTAGCCCACACTCGCTCTCTTAGGCCTAACCCCCACATCCGGCCTCAGCCCTGCGCCCCCAACACTCCAGCCCTGCCTCCCCCCCACTCCAGCCCTGTCCCCCCACCCACATCCAGCCCTGCCCTCCCCCGCTCCAACCCTGCACCAGCCCCCCCCCCCCACTCCAGCCCCGCTCCACTCCCTCTCTCAACCACTCAACTCGATGGGCCGAATGGCCTCCTTCTGCGTTCTAAATGAACACAATTCCAGATGGACAGAACATTGGCGCTGAGTTAGAAGCTGGTGTTTTGCTTTGGCGCAGCAACACCAACAACAACTTGCATTTGCATCCTACCCTGCACCCGGAGCATCATCTCAGAGCGCTTAAAGTGGTTGAGCATGACGCGAAGCCGGGGGAGGTGACCATAGGTACTTGTCGAAGAGGAAGATCTTCAGGCGTGACCTGAAGATGAGGCAGGCAGGCGGGGCGGAGAGATGGCGGGAGAGTGTTCCAGAGCTTCGGGGCTTAGTGGATGAAAGCGCAAATACTGATGGTGGAACGGAGGGCACAAGGGACTTGCAGGAGGCCGGAGCCAGTTGAATGGAGGTAGCGAGTTGGAGAGTAAGCAGGTTGGAGAGGTTGGGTGGTTCTGAGGTGTGAAGGGATTTGAAGATGAGTGTGAGGGTCTTGAAGTCGATCTGTTTGGTAGTAAGTGCATGGACACGGTGGAGGCTGTGGTGTTTCCTGCGGCCTCTGTTTACCCACTGGCTCGCGTGTGTTTTCAGGACAGTGTCTGAGGAGGAGCGAGACAAGAATGGCTCCGAGGATGAAGATGAGGAGAAGCCGGGCCGAAGAGTCACAGGACCAAGGAAGAAGTTTGCTTGGAACGATCACGTCAGGTAAACGCCTTCTCTCTGGGGATCTGGTCGTATCCTCTAATCTGACATTCCAGCAATCAGTTTGAGGGAGGGGCGGCACTACATTGTCAGAGGCGTCATCTGTGAGATGAGACGTTAAACCTCACTCCCCGTCTGTACCTTGCTCAGGTGGACATTAAAAATTCCACAGATTTTCACTACTTGAAAAGAGAAGGGAGTCTCTCTCTCTCTTGCTCTCTCTCTCTCTTAGAGTCCTGGCCAACAATTCTCTAAATAAAATTGGTCACTCACTCAATGGCAGTTTCTGGGATGTTGCTGCGTTGATTGCCACGTTTTGTCCAAAAGTACTCCATTTTACAGTATATCGAGTGAAGTGCTTTTTGATGTCTCGACAACATGATCAAGCACAATATCAACTACAAGGATTGATATTAATTATTATATTCATCTCCCCTATCCTGAACTCCACTGACTTAAAGATTCCCAGTCACTGGGGGCAGGGAATCCTCCCACTCAGCTCCTGTTAACCCTGCAAGCCAAACCCCTAACTGGACCTAGCTGGATAAGCAGTGGGAAAGCTTACCAGACAGTCTCTTAATGACACGTGTTAGCTGGTTAGACTCCAGCAGTACTCCAATGCACACTCTGGGGTCCGCAAGCCTTGGTTCTCGACAACCTGTGCCTAACACTCTCTGGAAATAGGTAAACAGGATCTGTCCCTCCAGGGAGGAGGAGAGAGAGAAAGAGAGTGTGCATTTCATTCCAGACACTGGAATATCCATGTGTAGCAACAGACATGGAATTCTCAGTCTGGTTTGGAGACTCTTAAACATGGTGACGGGTTTCCGTGTGTGTCAGACAGACCGGTTGATCATGGTGACGGGATTTGCTGTGGGATCATTAAGCCCGGATTGCTCCCTTACACTCTGCTGTTGCTGTGACAGGGAGCTGCTGTGTAACCTGGTGAAGATAAAGCTGGGCTGTTACGAGCTGGAACCCAATAAACTGCAATCGGTGGAGGATTATCTGAAGACGTTTCTGGAGACAGAAGTCAAGCCTATCTGGCCGAAAGGATGGATGCAATCTCGGTGAGTGTCCTGAGATAAACAACGCTGGGGCTTTTGTCTGGTTTAAATTGATGGCCTCCTTCAGTCCTCACATTCTCACTCAGCGCAAACACTAGAATATACTGTAATTGACTGTATGTTTAGAGGCGAAACATGGCAGCCAATTGCTCACAGTTGTGTCCCACAAACCTTATTATTCAAGGCTGTTTGTGGGACTTCACTGTGCACAACTGGTTGCCCTCAAAATACACAGTCACTCCCAAGCTAAGCTCCAGTTTCGAGCTTGCGATTGTAACCTGAAGTGTGTTGTGTTGCAGGTTGCTGTTTAAAGAGAGCAAGAGAGTTCACAATCACCTGACAGCAGCCCCGTAAGTACAACCTCCCAGACAAACACTCTGCCTTTCCCTCAGTGTCCGTTTGTTATGAAGAGTGCCAGTCAATCTACACTGAGGATAACCACAAGTACTGTCCTGCTGAGCAACACTGAGCCCCACAGTAATTCAGGGCATTTCAAAGATATACACAGATTGCACAGCCAGGAAATAGACCACTCGGCCCAGCCAACAGTGCTGTGGTTTATACTCCCCACGAGTCTCCCACTCCCCGCTCCTCCCTCCCTCCTATGCCCTTCTATTCCCCTCCGTCTTGAATGGATCTTCACTGTCTGATTCAACCACTGCTTCAGGCAGCGAGTTCAACAATCTCACTGCCCTCTAGAGTCTCCTCAGAGCTGAACTGGCTACAAGCTGACATCATAAAATTATACAGCACAAAAAGTTTGGCCCATCGTGTCCATGCAGACTCTTTGAAAGAGCTGCCCAAATTAGTCCCTCTCCCCCGCGTTCTAACCCGTAGCCCTGCAGATTTGTCCTCACCAAATATCTATCTACTTCTCTCTTGAATTGTTATCTAATTGGCTTCCAGCAGACTTTTAGGCAATGGTTTCCAGATCCCAACAACTCGCTGTGTGAAAAAATGTTTGCCAACAGAATGTGGGAATTGAGCCGGTCTCTCTCTCTGTGCCGGTCTCTCTCTCTCTCGAGCCCCCACTCTGTGCCGGTCTCTCTCTCTCGAGCCCCCACTCTGTGCCGGTCTCTAGCCCCCGGTTCCTGAGCCAGAAGTGGCTGCAGTATCCCAGGGCACTCGCTGCTGATGGCAGCACAGCCCTGCCCGGCTCATGGGCAGGACTTGGAAGGGCCGACCAGTCCCTGGGAGCAGGGAATCCTCCCCCTCAGCTCCTGGTAACCCCACAGCCAAAGCCCAACTAACTAACGGGGAGGGGGGTCCGAGCTGGACACGCAGCGGGAAAGCTGCCAGACAGTGATATCAATGGCCAACTGTGTGTGGGTTTAGCCGGTTAGACTCCAGCAGTTACCCCAACACACACTCTGGGACCCCCCAAAGCCTTGGCTCTCGCCAACCTGCGCCTAATACTGTCCGGAATTAGGTAAACAGGGGGCGTCACTCCAGGGAGAGAGAGAGAGGGAGAGAGAGAGAGAGCGCATTCCATTCTAGATATTGGGAATTTCCGTGTTTAGGTGTCAGACATGGGAATCTCAGACTGGTTTGGAGATTCTTGGGTTTCGTGACTGGTTTCCGTGTGTGTCAGACGCCCGGCTGATCAGCAGCTGACAATCAGCAGCTAAATGTAACTGTTTCACTCTCTTCTCCTCAGGGCCAAGAAGAAGGTCATATTCGCACCAAAGCCTAAAGTGAAGGTCAGTCTGTCGGTTCTTACCATCTCTAACAGCCCAATGTCAGGGACTCGGAGCTCACAGTCCAGTCTGACACTCCAATGCACTGTTGGGGGGAACGCTGCAATATCAGCCGTCCTTCAAATGAGACGTTAAGCCAAGTTTCTGCCTGGCCCTGTTCATGTGGACGTTAAAGCTCACGTTGTTGGAAAAGAGAAGTTTTTCTCTCTCTCCCGGTGTCCTGGCCGACAATCCCCAGGATGAAATCTGTCAGTCACTTCATGGCTGTTTGTGGGAGGTCGCTGTGTGCTAATTGGCTGCTGTGTTCGCCTACAAATACATAGTCACTACACTTGACAGTAAATCCTGTGAAGCGCTTTGAGACGTCGTCCTGACGTGAAAGGTTCTGTATCACATACAAGGATTATGTGAGGTTTTAAACCCATCTGAAAGGGAACTACCCACTGAGTCATACCGTTTCTTTTCGATGCTTTGCTTGTAGTCAATAACAATAGCAATCCTTGCTTCATCACGTCATCAAAACGTCTCAAAGCGCTTCACAAGATTGATTGTCAAGTGGTGTGACTGTTTTGTGGGCGAAACGTGGCAGTTAATTTGCACTCAGCACATCCCTTAAACAGATATGAAGTGAGCGAGTGATTTTTATCTTGTTAGCCAGGACACCGAGAGAGAGAGAGAGAGAAACTCGCTTCTCTTCTCCCCCAGCGTCGTGGGAGATCTTTAATGTCCGCCTGAACAGGGCACAGAGGGGGAGTGAGGTTTAATGTCTCATCCGAAGGACGGCGTCCGACATACATTGGAGTCCTGTAGCTCAGTGGTTAGAAGCCTCGCCTCGCTAGCAAGAGGACCGGGTTCGATTCCCGGGCAGTTCAGGGCGAAACCTTACATGAGTTTGATTACCCCACACCCCTCTGTTTACCTGTAAGTAGGAATCCAGTTGTTGGTTGATTGGCAGATCGCTTTCCAGGGGTAATAATCCCTCAAAAAAAAATGTAGCCACTTAATCCTCGAGTGTTTGTGAGATGCTGCTGTGCGCAATTGGCTGTCGCGTTTCGCCCACAAAATACACAGTCACTACACTTTACAGTATATTCTGTGAAGCACTTTGAGACGTCTCGACGATGTGTCAGGCGCTGTGTCAACTGCAAGGGGAAGGGACACAGCCGACACCTGACAGATTTCCGGGTTTTTCCTGCAGGATTCCAGCCCCAAGAGAGAGACGAAGCTTTCCCCTCCCCTCGGCTCCGGATCCAAACAGCTGGTTAGCGTCTCCCCGCAGGGCGGGGTCTGTGCCTCCGGCCGCGAGACCATCTGTTTGGACGACTCCCTGGACGAGGAGCTGCCCTTAAAGCCGCCGTCGTTGGAATCTGTGTCTGAGGCTCTCGCCTTGTTCACCAGCTCGGCCAAGGGTACCAAGGAGACCCTCAACTGTGTTTCCGCCACAGCCCGGCCTCAGCCCCTGGTCAAGGCAGAGAGTAAAGCCCCAGCCAAGGTCAACCCAGCCTCTGCCAAGACCCCCGCGCCCCCCTCTACTGCCCCTTTGTCCTTCATGTTCAGCCACGGTGGGACGGGAGCCAAGAAGCCCCAGGAGGGGGTCCGACAGGGGCTGTCCAGTCTCATCGCCGGGTACACAGCACCATCTCCACAAGGCACCCACAAAGCTCCTGTGGGGGGCTCGGGGGTCAAACAACAACAGCAGCAGCACAACCAGGCCAGGCCGAGCCAGACCACCGGCTCAGCCCAGACTGTCAAACCCCAGCCTGGCCCCCGACACCCGGTCTTCCACTCCTCCTCGCCTCTGCCCGTCGGCAAGTGCCACGCCAACCCCGTGGTGAAGCTGAGCGCCTGCCCGCTGCACGTGATCGCCAACCACACGCAGAAGGCCTCTGAGAAGCAAACATCTCTCCAGCCGGGCTTCCCCCAGTCCGTCACCAGCTCCATCTCGCACAGTTTGGTGTCTCGGGCCAGTCCCGGCCCATCTACCTCCAGCGCTTACAAAGCCGCCGCCACCTCCAGCAACACCTCCTCTATGCAAGGCTTCAAGCCGGCCTTCACCTCGGCCAAAGCCGTCTCCTCCCCGGGCTGTGCCGGGCTGGGGGGGCAGAGCGGCCTGGCCGTGAGCCTCGGCAACAGGCAGGCGTCTGGCAAACACACGGTCAGCCCGTCCCTGGCCAGGCAGTCAGCCCCCGGTCACCAGCAGCCGGGAAACCTCGTCAAAAAGCCTTCAGTGCCTCAGAAACTGCCCGGCCCCCTGGGCCCCGGGGGAGGGGGGGGCAGCCGGAGCATCGTCCCCCCTGGGGGGGTGAGGGGCAGCTCCACAGCCGGCACCGGGCGGAGCGGGGGTCCCGGGATCACGGCAGTGACGGCCAGCAGGAGCGGGGCTACAAGCAAGAGCACCGTCAGCACCAGCACCGGCTCCACAAACCGCAGCCCCCTCAACAGGAGCGTGGGGCTGAACCATGGGCCGGTGAGCAGGACGGTGGCGGGGGGGGCTATCAGCAGGACTAGTGTCAGTGTGGCCACAGGGACCACCGGTGCTATCAAAATGCTGCCCAGCCCACACAGGACTTCCTCCGTCTCAGGAATTAATATTGCCGCAGCCGGTGTCCAGGTTAGTGAGTGTTCCTTTTCCATTGGCTTCCGTGAAGCTGTGAGGGCTCCTTCCGCGAAGTCCCTGGGGTGTCGTGTTCAGCTCACATCTCACTCCCACTTCACTCCGCTCGTCTGTAGCTCAACACCTGGTGTATAATCCGCTTGGACTCCAAGCCCTTAGAAGCCATAGATTTGTGTGGATTGCAGACCCGCCCGGCTCAGGAACTGGATGAGAGACCGTCGGGGGGGGGGGCGGGGGCCTTGATTGCGTGGGCAAACGTGTCACCTTAGAGACCACTCAGCCCTGAGAGGACTCTTCTTCGAAGAGGTTGTTACCTGTGTAAAGCAGCACTGTATAACTCCTTTGCTCCCTTTGCCTGTTTCATATCCCCCGCCCTATCCAACCCACCATCGGGGGAGCTTTCAGCCATTGTGCCTTGGCTTTCTGGGAGCTGCCAGACAATGGCCAAGCTGTGTGTGGGTTTAGCTGGTTAGATTCCCAATAGTTAGCCCAACGCACATTCTGGCTCTCCCCAAGCCTTGGCTCTCGCCAAACCTGCGCCTAATACTCTCCGGAATTGGGTAAGCAGGGGGCGTCCCTCCAGGGAGCGAGAGAGAGTGCACATTCCATCCCATACTTGGGAATTTCCAGGCTGTAGGTAAGGTACATGGAACCTGTTTGGAGACTTGAGATGTTCATCTGACCAAAAAAACCTACATTGTAAATAACATTCCCTATTTCAAGTTATCCCCTCGCATCTATATCCACTTGGTTTATGTATTGTCAGAGGTGCCGACCTCCAGGTGAGATGTTAAACCGAGTTGTCCAGGTGGATGTTAACGGATCTCGCGACACTGTTTTTAAAAAGAGAGAGAGAACGGAGTTTCACTCTCCCAAACTCTCATCCTGGCCAACAATCTCCAGTGGTCCTTCACTTCATGGCTGTTCGTGGAAGGTAACTGCACAACTTAGCTGTCACAACACACAGTCACTACACATTACCTGTGATGAGGGTGAGACGTGTATTATGTGAATGCTCTGAATTGAGGGTGATCTTGGGGGAGGTTCTGGTGAAGGACCATTAGGCCATTTGATCTCATCCATCCAGAATCCTCACCTACTGTCCTCCCATCAAGATGGATGCCTTCACTGGAGTATCATTCCTTCACAATAAATCACTGGTCAAGCTTTCCCTGAAGCTTAGAATCATTGAAATGTACAGCGCAGAAGGAGGCCATTCGGCCCATTGAGTCTGCACTGGCTCTCAGAGCAAACTGTCCATTCAACCTCACTCCCCTCCCCTATCCCTATAAACCCCTTGTGGACCTGCCTGGCTCAGGAACTTACTGCACTTTACAGTATATGTTTATCAGCAATAAGTAGGAACCCAGTTACTAGTCGATTGGCGCATCACTTTTCTGGGGGTAACAATTCCTTCAAAAAAAAAATAATTTGGTCACTCAATCCACGCTGTTTACTGTTTGTGGAGGACACTGCTGTACGCAATTTGCTGCTGCGTTTTGCCCACAAAATATACTTTACAGTGTATTTTGTGAAGCGCTTTGAGACGTCTTGAACACTACATCAAATGCAAGGATTATTATAAGAGGCCATTACACAAGATGGACTTGATTCTGACATTTGTTTGTCAAAAATATTACCAGTTCAGCCCCAAGGAGACACTATCCATTTAATCCACAGAGTGTTAGCTCGGCTCAGTTGGTTGCAGTCTTGCCTCAGAGTCAGAAGATTGTGAGTTCAAGCCCCACGTCAGGATTTGGAACTCATATGGTCTTAGATGACTCCAATGCAATGCTGGAGGTGCCGTCCTTTGGATGAGACATTGGGTGGATGTTATAAAGATGCCGTGATGTTGTTCGAAAATAGAAGGGAATTTAACCCGATGGCCTGACCAATAAAATAATCCTCCCAAATAAAATTGGTCGCTCACTTCACAGCTATTTACCTTACGCCATGGGGTTCCACATGACAACTCAATGGTAAAAGGGTTGGGTTGACTTGTGAGCTGAATATCCAACTAACACTCCCTCCCTCACCTCCTGAATAATGATTCTTGAGCAAGGACACATTGGGACATATTCCAACAGGAAAATGAGGAGAGATGAGCGAGCAGGAGAGAGAGGAAGAACTTGACCTACCAGTTGGGTAGGTCATTGGAGAGGAGTTGAGACCCCATAACCAGGGAGATTTCCACGTCTTGGTGGCATACATGGTGGAGTCCTGCAGCTCAATGGTTAGAGCACTCGCTTTGCAAACGAGAGGACCGGGGTTCGACTCCCGGGCAGGGCAAACCATTGGGCAAGTTTCCTTACTCCCACATGCCTGTTTACCCAGCAGTAAGTAGGAACCCAGTTACTCAATTGGCACTTGGCTTTCTGGGAGTAATAATCCCTTTAAAATAAAAATGGTTACTCAATCCATGACAGTGGGACACTGCTGTGAGAAATTGGCTGTTGAGTTTCACCCACAAAATATACTGTTGCTTTACTTTACAGTGTATCCTGTGAAGTGTCGTCAGATGCCTCAATAACATATCAAATGGAAGGATTATTCTATTTATTTTATATTGGTGGGACTCTCGATCTGGTATGGAGACTGTCGAGCACGACCATGGGTTTCTGTACATGTTGGACCCCTGGCTGACCAAAGGAGATTGGAATCTTTAGTGTACAATACAGCTCACATTTATGGCACCTTTCATGTCAGGAGGATGTCTCACAAAGTGTTTCACAGCGTTTACTGTAAAGTGGAGTGACTGTGTTTTGGCTGCTCCATATGGTCCGGACGCTTTCACATCACGAGGACAGCTCAAAGCTTCACAGGATCCAAAGTTTAGTGACTGTTTTCTATGAGTGAATGCGACAGCCAATTTGCACACAGCAACATCCCACAAATACCAATGGAGTGCCCCCCCCCCCCCCAGCGCTGTTCTGGAGCATCAGCCTAGACTGCGATCAAAGAGTCCCTGATGTGGGGGCTCAAGCCCACAACCTACTAACTCTGAATTGAGCTACAAGCTAACACCTAATGGAGTCCAGCAGCTCAGTGGTTAGAGCCCTCGCCTCGCAAGCGAGATACCAGGGTTTGATTCCCAGACATGACAAAGCATTGGGCAAAGTCCCTTACTCCACCCGTCTCTGTTTATGCAGCAGTCAGTTGGATTTTGGTTGGATCGCTTTTCTGAGAGTAATAATCCCTTCAAAAAAAAAAATTTGTTCACTCAATCCACGATTGTTTGTGGGGACATTGCTGGTGCAATTGACTGCCGTATTTCGCCCACAAAATACACAGTCACTACACTTTACAGTATATTCTGTGAAGCGCTTTGAGACGTCTCGAAGACGTGGTGAGGCGCTGTATCAAACGCAAAGATTATTATTTACTACCTAAGGTTTGAGCCCCTATTCACCTCAAACCTCAACCCCCCGCATCCCGCACTCTCATCAAACGTGCATCCGTTTTGCACAATAAACTCCTCGTAGAGGGATCTAGATTCTATTAGACGTCTCGCGCTCAGCACAACCCTCGCTCATTGATTGTCTCTCTGTGCCCAGGCTACGAGCAGCTCAGCGATGCTGGCCAGCACCCCGCCATTGACTCTGATGACGTCTCCCCTGAATGTAACCAGTCCGAACGTGTCATCGGCTTCACTCAACACAGCGGCGTTCGGCATGTTGGGCGGGCTGGTCCCCGTCTCCCTGCCTTTCCAGTTCCCCCTCAACCTCATCAGTTTCGGGGCCGATTCCAGCAACACTGCCTCGGCTTCCACAGGATCTACCTCAGCCGCATTCCACCACAACCTAACGCAGAGTGAGTGCCCTCATCAGCCCGACTCGCACTCTCGTCCCTGATCCAGAAGGTCGTTCCCCCCACCCCCCCACGATAGGTGTTAAACTCGCGGAGCCTAGGCTGACGCTCGCTGGAGGGAGGGAGAGCGTCGCATTGTCAGAGATGCCATCCTTCCGCCGAGCGTTTAACCGCACCCTGTCTGTGAGACGTCCCCCCTGACGCTGTTGGAAATGAGAAGAGAATTTCTCTCTCTTGCTCAGTTTCCTGGCTGACAATTTTCCAATCCCCCCCCTCCCCGCCCCGCAGGTGAAATCGCTCACGGCTGTTTGCAGGGGACAAAATGGCTGCCGCGTTTCACCCACAAACCGCACAGTCACAAAACTTTGAGAGGTCCTCCAACGTGAAAGGCGCTGGATCAAATGCAAGGATTATTATTTAACAGTAGCCCGTAATGATCAGCGCAATCCACGCAAGCTAGCGTCTCAGCGCACTTCACACTGGTGAGGTTGGAGCAGAGGGAGGTGACCGTAGGAAGGGTGAAGGTAGATTTTCAGGTGGGATCTAAAGAACTCAATAAGAATAATCCTTGCATTCGCTACAGCCCTTTTCATATCGAGAGGACATCTCAAAGTAGAGGTATCTGCTTCCGGACTTATTGTGAAGCGCAGTTACTGTATTTGTGGGTGAACGTGGCAATTAATGTATTTACGTCCCATAAACAGCCATGAAATTAATGAGTGATTTTATTTGGAAGCTTGTCGGCCGGGACACCAGGAGGTGTCTCTCTTTTCGAGTCGTGTCATGATAAAGACTGGGCAAGGCCAAGGAAGGAAGGAAGTTTCATGGATCAGGGTGATGGGTTTCCATGTGGGTCAGACACCCGGCCGGTCACGGTGACGGGTTTCCGTGTGCGTCAAAGACCCAAAAAAATCCTGTTACAAATTTCACTCCAATAAGTTATTTGACTTCTAAACAGCGTGTGATATCGTTTGACTGTTCCTCACATCGTTCCCCTCTTTCTCGCTAGATATTTTGAAAGGTTTGCAGTCAACTTCACAAGTTTCACGATCAACTGTACCCGCTCATTTACAACAGGCCTACACAGGTACCTGCCAGTTATTATTAATATTAATAACAATAATCCTCACATTTGATACAGTGCCTTTCATGTCAGGAGGACGTCTCAAAGCGCTTCACAGGGTTTACCGTAAAGCATATTGACTGTGAAATGTGGCAGCCAGTTTGTGCCCAGCAACGTCCCCGCAAACAGCCATGAAGTGAGTGGGTGATTTTATCTGGGGGATTATTGGCCAGGACACCGGGGGAGAGAGAGAGGGCGAAAGAGAGAGAAACTCCCTCCTTTTTGAACTGCTCCACAGGATCCTTACTGTCCTCTCTCTCTCTCTCTCTCTCTCCTCGTCCCCCTCCCTCCTCTCTCTCTGACACATGGAGACTCACCAACATGCATAATAGCATCTAAACCAGACAGACGGACAGACTAAAACCAGACTGATCTTTTTACCCTCCTTTTAACATCTCTTTTATCCTTCTCCCTAGATGGCAACAAAAGCCAAGGAGATTCTTCCAAACGTAAATCCCTGTGATGATTTATTGGCTCGTCTGCAGTAAGACGGACATGAAGTGGTGGCTGGAGCTTCCCTGGCCAGTCTGCTTGGCCTGTGCGGGAGGTGTCTTGCTGGGTGTACTCCCGATGGGTAAAGAGATCAGTTTTGTGTCTACAGCAGCAGCAGAGCCCAGGACAAGGGAAACCTTTCAGTCCGTCTGGTTTACAATAGAACCTTATGTGAATTCAACCCAGCCTTTTTGGGGCTCGGACAATGATCAACAGAGTCTCTCACTGGACAATGGAGTCAACAGGAAAGGAGTCGTTAAGAAAGTGTGGCGAGGATCGGTCAGTGGGGGTGTGGAGGTTGTGTGCTTGTCGCACACTTGGACGGGGGGACTTGGGGCAAGGCTTGAGCACCCGAGTTGCCAATGGCCAGCCAATGCCGACCTGTAATGGTTCCACCACAGGGTTGACGACTTGGAGCTGTGAGCGAGCGGGGAGCCTGGGGACAACTGGCAGCAATGGTTGGTCAGCGAGGGGCGGTGGGAGCAGGTTTGGTCTCAGCTCACAGCCCAGACTGGGAAGGGGCTGCACTACATGGGGTGGGGAGGAGAGTTAACACTATTTGAAAAGAGAAAGAAGTTTTTCTCTCTCTCCTGGTGTTCTGGCCAACAATTCCCCAGATAAATTCGCTCGTACACTTCATGGTTGTTTGGCGCTAAGTCGCTGTGCGCAAATCGACTGCCACCTCAAACAATACAGTCCACAGTAAAACCTGAGAAACGTTTTGAGGTGATTTGTGGCAAACACAGGGATTATTTTATGGTGGGGGGTGGGGTGGAGGGCAAAGCGGTGGTTGGGTGGCAGGTGAGGCTCTTTGTTGATGATGATGATGACACAGGTCAGAAAGCAGCAGAATCAGCTCAGATCCTCTCCTCAGTCTGGAAAAAAAATACAATTCAGTCTTTACCATGAAAGACGACACTGAGAGTTTTTCAGAAAGAATTTAATTTGGAATTGATTGTTCTTAAGGCAGGATTGTACTTCAGACGCATAATTTGGAGTTTGTGCCCCTCATATCACCCGATACTCCTGTTTGCTTGTCCTCATTCATATCCCCTTCCCCCACAACCCCTCGTTCTCACTGCACCTGTGATAAGCAGAGACCAGCTGATGGGCAATGGGGCAGTGGGTGCTTCATTGGAGGGAGGGGGGGCGTGAGTGTATTGGACGTGTGGAGAGCTGGATGGATGGGGAAAGGGGTGGTGGGTGTGAGTGCTGGATGGGGAGTGGGGATGTGCGACCGACTGTTTTTTTTTAATTTTAACAATAAAAATGTCCCATTTAATCTCAAATCAGAGCCTCATAAATTGTAAGATGGAAAACAGAGCTGCAGGTTACACCATCTGTAACACAGGGGGTGTTGGTCAGCCGGGGGTCTGACACGTGGAAACCCATCACCTGATCAAGTCTCCAGTTAGCTGAGAATTTTCATGGTTCCCACCTGCACCAAAATGCGCTCTCTCTCTCTCGCTGGAAGGACACGTCCTGTTTACCTAATTGCGGAGTATTGGGTGCAGGTTGGCAAGAGCCAAGGCCTGAGGATCCCAGTGTACATTCGGGAAACTGCTGGAGTCGAAGCAGCTGAAACCATCGATATCACTATCTGGCAAGTTTTCCCGCCGCTTGTCCAGGACCACCATATCTACCTGTTAGGGCTTTGGTTTCAGGTTTAACAAGAGCTAAGTGGGATGCCTCCCTGCCCTTCCAGGTCCTGCTGATGAGCGAGGCTGGGCTGTCGTGTCATTAGCAGTGAGTGCCCAGGAACCCTGCAGTCCCTCCTTGGCTTAGGAACCGGACTACAGAACATCAGAGGCGCGATTGACTTTCCGTGTTAGCAGTTCAGTAACTGTAAATGTGTTGCTGTGTCCCAACTGCGCGCGGCTGAACTGGAGTTGCTGGTGCACGGCTGAGCGAGGATGACCGTGAAAAGCAGAACACACACGGTGTCGGTTTCCAAACCCCCGCCTTTCCCTCTTCACGCTGCACGAAGTCCTGTATTCGTTAAAGAGTACTCAGCTTCACAAGTTGGGTTCGATTCCTGGACGAGGTAAAACCTAACTCCACGTGGCTGTTTACCTCAGTCAGTGGGAACCCATTTGTCAATTAGCAAATCACTTTCTGGGAGTAATAAACACTTTGAACAAAAATTTGGTTACTCAATCCACAACCGTTTGTGGGATACTGCTGTGCATAATTGGCTGCTGTGTTTCACCCACTGAAATATAGTCAATTGACTTTATGGTATATTCTGTGAAGCGCTTTTGAGGGGTTTCAATGACATAACACTGTAACAAATGCCAAGAGTTAAATTAGCTTTTACACAAGGACAGAGTATGAGAGCAGTAATACTGCACAACAGCTCTATACCGTATGGCAGGTCATGTCTGATACACAACTGGAATGTTACAGGGCCCTTCATCTAACAAAATACCTCAGAGCAGCAGGAAAGCGATGGTCCAGAGGTGCAGGCAAATAAGTCAACATTTAGAGCGAGGGGAGTGAAATGGGGTGGGGGGATTTACAGAGATTGGGGCAATGGCCACACAGCAAACCTGAGTTAGGTGAACAGAGTGGGGTAGATTACATCTTGGATGTCGATCTGTTGGGGCAAGGACTGGAGAAGAGAGTTCGGGATGAGCTGGAGCTCGAGAGACCAGCAAGGAGAGTGTTGGAAAGTCCGATCAGGAGCTAAAGACCTGAGTAAGAAGTTTGGTGGCATTCAGTACAAGATGAAGATAGGCTGGAGGTGGGGAATGGGGCCGGCGTGAAGAGAAGGGATCTGGATGTGAGGGAGAAAGATCAAACTGGACTCCAAGGTGAGTTTGAGGCAAGCACACACACGCTCACACACCTCCCTTTAGTGACACAGCCACAATTGGGGCAAACCAGATTTGAGGTCTCCTCCAACACTGCAGCACTTCCTCTCCCAAGTAAGTATCCGGCTCGACTGAGCTCAAAGCCTCAACAACATACTGACATTGCCTGAGATATGGACCATGGAGACGGGATGTGTAAAACCAGCCTTTATTTGGGGTATTCTGGGTTTGGCCTGTTCCCTCACAGGACTAAGGCCAATCGGCGGTGGCTCCTCCCCACTCCGCGGCCTGCGCTGTGGGGGCAGCAGACCAGTCCTCAGCCGCAGGTTGGGCGCTCCAGTCCTCTGCAAAACAACGATGACAGTGATAACAGTGTCCAGCCTGGCCTCAGCCCAGTCAACAGCCTGAAACTCTACCCAGTCTCTCAGCTTGTGATACCATCTTAACAACACATTTGCATAACGTCTTCACGTCAGGAGGACGTCCCAAGGCGCTGGAAAGTCAAGGATCGCATCCGAGCTGGGGTTGGGATCAGAAAGGGTGGAGGGTGAGGGTGACCGAAAGTACGGTCAGAGGGTCTTGATAGAGGCAAGGGAGAGGGACTGCGGGATGGAGTTCCAGAGGTTAGGGCAAAGAGGCTGAAGGCCCGACCACCAATGGTGGGATGGGCAAGGTGGGGGACGTGAAGCAGGCCGGAGCCCAGCGAGCGGAGGGAGTGGACAGGTTGGAAGGGAGTTAATAATAATAATAATCCTTGCATTTGATATAACGCTTTTCACGTCTTCTCGACGTTACAAAGCGCTTTACAGAAAACACTGTAAAGTGAATTGACTGTATATTTGTGGGCGAACGCGGCAGCCAATTGCGCACAGCAATGTCCCACAAACAGTCGTAAATTGAAGTGACCAATTTATTATTGTTTTTGGTTTTGGAGGGATTATTATTATTACTCCACTGTGTGGAGTAAGGAAACTTGCCCAAGTTTTCGCCCTCTGCCGGGAATTGAACTCAGGTCTCTCGCTTGCAAAGTGAGTGCTCTAACCACTGAGCTACAGGACTCCACATTACTAACATCAGTACTGTGTGCAGTTCTGCACAGGAACTAAATAAATACTTCAACAGGAGTAAAGTACAGGACTGTGGGGGAAAGGGCAGGGAATCGGGACCGAAAGAATTGTTATTAAGGAACTAGTACAGGCACAATACAGTGCAGCCATATGGACTTCTACACTGTCAATTTCTACCTGGTCACCCTCCTACCCTCCAATTACTCTAGCTAAGAATGGGTGGAATTTGAGGCTCTATTTGACCAAAAAAATCCCAATTCAGATGGATTTGCACCAAAGAAGAATTGAGAATTACTCACTTCAAGTTTCTTCACATATACACTCACTGCCTCAAGCCCAGCCTGGACTCTATAAAGCTTGGGATCAATTCCTATTTCTCTCCAGAGGCCACCCCATCCCAACCGTCACCATTAACTGCACCCATTTTAATCCTCGTTTCACCTGTCTCCCACATCCCCTTAAGCTTTTACTGCTCATTTGCTTAACCAAATCCCTCTAGAAATGATTCAACCCAGGAGTAAAGAGACAACATTTCTCCACCTCTCTTGAATGCTGCCCACAATCCCCAAACTCTATATTTCATACATAGGAAAAGGAAGAGGCCATTCAGCCCCTTGAGCCTGTTCCACCATTCTATTAGATTATAGCTGATCTGTACCTCACCTCGAATTACCTGCCCAGGTCTCATATCCCTTGATACCCTGACCTAACAAACATCTATCCACCTCAGTCTTGAAATTTAAGAATATAACACAAGAATTTGCTGGCGAAAGAAAATCAAGGTCCATCTAGTTGGCCTTCCACCTTCCTGGTGGTCACATACACATATGTCCCAAATCCCCATGTCCTATATCCCACAATGTTATTTCCTGAAAGAAAACAATCTAATCTGTGTTTGAAAGAACCAACATTTCCTGCTTCAACCGTCTCCCACAGGTTCTCTATTCACTCACTGATATAGTGTGTGTGTGGATTGGTTCTGAATTTACCCCCTTCAGTCGCAGGCCGTGTGCCCTCTGGTTTTACTATCTGGACAAGTTGAAACACGGTCTATATTGTTGTTGGTTTACAATGTTAGACAGTAAGTCACTCACTGGTGGCGGGGGCTGCCTCGGGGAAGGCGGGCTTGGTGTAGGGATTTGCTGCCTCCAGTGGCTCTGCTGCCCCCGGCAGGTTTTTGCCGGTGGCCGCAGCGAATTGCTGGATGGGCACAGAGGGCACTTGGACTCCCTCAGACCAGTCAGTGACCTCCGGCTGCACAAAGTCAGCCACCGGGGCCGTCCACTCGCCCTGGTACTCCTCCTTCCCAGCAGCCTTCTCAGCAGCCGCCTGCTCCTCCTTCTCGATCTGGAACCAGACAAAGGCTCACGTCAGTCAGCTACACAGAGAGGGCGCGACTACTCTGAGCTTCCACACACCGCTGGGAAAACAGAAGGGAGTTTCTCTCCCTCGGTAGACTCTGCCCTCGACCCCACACTCACTTCATGGCTGTTTGCGCTGATGTTGCTACACTTTGAAGCAATTTGAAACCAATATTACAGGCGCTGAATCAAATCCAAGGATTAGAATCTCCCCCCTCCCAACCACCCCCTTTAACCCTCCGTTCCAAGGCAGCTATTCCAGCTCCCTCTAAACATCCCTGTTAGTTCTTTCCTCAAGTATTTTCTCAGACCAAAAACAGTTGGAATTTGGGGTGTCTGGAACCATATTTGGCTGAAACAGACCACACACCAACAGGTGGAAGTGGGACTAATGTGGAATGTGGATCATCGAGTCTGCCGGCACAGACTCGATGGGCCGAATGGCCTCCTTCTGTGCCGTAACATTCTATGATTTTGTCCTGGCCGCTCTCCAGGACAGCAAGTCCCTGCAGGAGATTTTCTGATTGCTTTCTTAGCCTAGTTTTGAATGCGCTTAACAGGGAATAATTGTGCTCTAGTGTTTATCTCCAGCTGAAAGCCTAACCAACAAAAAAGGCTCCAAAAATTGCCTCTGGCCTGAACCCCCCCCCCCTCCCAGGAACTTCCATCAGCGAAACCAGACAGGTGTAGGACAAAAACAAAATGTAAGCCCCGAAACTGGAACGTTTTCCCTCTATCCCTTCGCCTTGCTCCTTCCTGCCCCATCTTCAGGTCGAGCCTGAAGACCTTCCCCCTGACCCTACGTACAATCACCTCCTCCCCCCCCCCCCCCCCCCCCCCCCCCGGCTCTGCCTACTGTTAAGTTGTTGTTGACTGACTGGCTGGGATGCTCCTCTCACAGCTCACACTCACCTCATCAGGGTCTCTGTAGAAGTACAGATCAGGCATCACCTCCCAGGGGTGCTCCCGGCTGATGGTCCCGCGCATGCGCAGCACCTCGCGAGCCAACATCCACCACATCAGCCCGATAGAGTGAGCTCCCTGTCAAACAGGAGAGTGTTAGACACAGAGACACACACACCAACACCCAACATTCCCCACATAGGAGAGGGAGGGGGCGGGTGGAAACATATACACAGCACCAACATTTAATCCCTCCCCTACACCCATACGCAGAATTACTCTCCCCTCATACACCCACACACAGCACCCGCCCTCTCCCCTCCACCCCTGTGCACACAAGAGCGGGCAGTGTATGTAGCAGGGATTCGTACGAGCAAAAGCCAGGGGCTGGGAGCCGGGCGAATGCGTCAAGAGAAACTCCTGCACTTTCTCTGGCATATTTCCTACACTCGAAGGTCATCAGCCAGACATGGCCTCCTCTCCAGGTTCTAACAACATGCCGTCTGCCCGACAAACCCTACTCAGCTCCCACAACAACCACTGGGAGCCACCAGCAAACACTACAGCATTACACAACTTACACTGCCCCAGACACACCCTGCACTGAGTAGTAAGAGAGACCTTTCAGCCCAACGACCCTGTTAGACCACACCACATGTTTTGATCCCATTTCCTCAACATCCCCAACGTCCGATATAGCCAGGGATGTGCTGTAGAGATTGCAGGTACCTTGTTATTGCAGGGGATGGAGACATCCACATATCGCAGGGGAGAGTCAGTGTTACACATGGCAATGGTGGGGATGTTGACATAGGAGGCCTCGGTCAGGGGCTGGTGGTCCTGACGGGGGTCTGTTACCACCAGCAGCCGCGGCTCCCTGAAGGCTCCCTGGATCTGATTGGTGAAGGTCCCGGGAGTGAAACGGCCAGCGATGGGGGTGGCTCCGCAGGCAGAGGCGAACTTCAGCACAGCTCGCTGGCGAGAGAACAACCAGGGAGGTCAGTAACACACAGAGCACAGGCTGCCAGGACACACTGAGCAGTCAGTCATCCTTACACAGCTTAAAAATCACACAGTCTGAGCTGATGCATGCTAATAGATCCAACCGTAGGAAAAGGTTTAATGAGGGAAGGGAATTAAATTCGTGGAGTCCTGTAGCTCAGTGGTGAGAGCACTCGCTTTGCAAGTGAGAGACCTGAGTTCAATTCCCGGCAGAGGGTGAAACCTTGGGCAAGTTTCCTTACTCCACACAGAGCCTAATAATAATCCTCCAAAACCCAAACAATAATAAATTGGTCATTTTCAATCTATGACTGTTTGTGGGACATTGCTGTGCGCAATTGGCTGCCGCGTTCGCCCACAAATATACAGTGAATTCACTTTACAGTATGTTCCGTGAAGCGCTTTGGGACGTCCTCCCGACGTGAAAAGCGCTATATCAAATGCAAGGATTATTATTATTATTATTAAATTATCATCCAGGCTCAGTCGCTTGCTCTCTCAGTCAGAGTCGTGGCACGGGACAGGAATTGTCTGAGTTCACAGTATAGTCTATCGCTCCAATGCATTGTCGCCGGGGGCGGGGGGGGAGGGGGGTAAACCTCACCCTCCCACCGCCTGTGCCTGTTCAGGTGGATATTAAAGATCCCGTGTCGCTGTTGGGAAAAATAAGGCAGTTTCTCCATGTCAGAGTCCCGGCTAACAATCCCCCAGATAAAATTGCTCGCTCACCTCATAACTTTTGTGGGATGCTGCTGGGCGCAATTGGCTGTCACGTTTGCCCATAAAACACACTCAACAGTAAATTCTGTGCATTGAGACTATCGTGAAAGATTCTCTCAAATGCAGATTATTATTAGTAGTAGAGACTAAAGGCTTACAGGAGTGGGGTAGAGAGTCAGTGTAGGGTCACACCACACTCAACTCCACTCACACCAAGACCTGTGTAAAGAGAACTCGCACTTCTCCCAGTGCCCAAAGCTCTGAGACATTACTGCATGTGAAGGGTGTGACATAAATACAAACCGTTTATATTCTGTAGAAACACTGTGGCATAGAATACTATCAAACCCCACTCCTCGAGGCTCAGGGCCTCTTGTGGTGTTAGCGAAAACTTGCCAGCTTTACTATCGCACATTTCCGACACCCGAAGCTCACGGGCCAGAGACTGGTTTAACAACGGGGTTTAATAATGTGCAGAGATCTGAGTAATGTAATCACCTTCCCTTTGATATCACACTTTCACCTCAAGATGATGTCTCAGCAAACGTACTGTAAAGTGGAGTGACTGTGTCCTTTGTGGACAACTCGCGGCAGCCCGTTTGGGCTGAGCAAAATCCCCACGGACAAATAAAGAGCAATGAAGTGAGCGACCATTTTTATCTGGGAGACTGTTGGCCAGGACACCAATGAGAGAGAGAAACTCCCTTTCCTTTTCCGAATAGCCCCGTGGGAGATCTTCAAACGTCCACATGAAAGCCCAGGCACTTGGTTTAACACGTCGTGTAAACGGAGCCTCTGACAATGCAGTGCTCCAGGTGATTTGACTCAGAAGTGAAAGCACTCTGAGACGCTGCCCCTGTGAAGGGCGGTTTATAAATGTAAGCAGTTGTTGTTGTGCCTAGCGGAGCCCCAGAACCTCAGTCAGTCTCCCAGTCACAAATATACAGTCACTACACTTTACAGTATATTCTGTGAAACTCTTCGAGACACCTCGAAGAAGTTATAAGGCGTTGTATCAAATGGAAGGATTATTATTATATTATAGTCAGCGCTGCCCACGTTACCTGCCCAAAAGGCCTGGAAGAGATGACACAGACGTCAGCCGGGTTCTCGATGGCAACAATGGCACGAGCGGCCAGGAGTAGCTTCTCCCAGGTCTTCTTTATGTTGATGATGTAAATACCTGGGACAAGGAACACAGGTAACCCAACTAAGTAGTTAGCCTTAACATAGACCCACGTTAACTCAACTAACGTAGCCTTAAAACAGGCCACACATAAACCCAACTAAAATAGTTAGCCTTAACACAGCCATACATTAACCCTGATAATTTTTAAAACTTCTATTAAGTCTTATCTTAACCTTCTCTGCTCCCAGCTTCTCTGGCCTCTTCTGATAATTGAAGTCCCTCATTCCTGGTAAATCTCCTTTGCACCCTCTCCAATGCCTTGACATCCTTCATAAAGTGTGGGGCCCATAACTGAACATAGTCTCTCGCTGAGGTCTAACCAATGACATAAAGGTTCATCATAACTTCCTGACTTGTGTATTCTATGCCCCTAGTATCCCAGATGCTTTTTTAACAGCTTTATCTTCCTGTCCGGCCACCTTCAAAGATTTCCTTATATGACCCCCAGGTCTCTCTGTTCCTTCACCCCCTTTAAGATTATACCATCAGCGTATATTGCCTCTCCTCATTCTTCCTCACAAAATGCATCACTTTACATTTCTCAACATTAAACTTCATCTGCCCCGTGTCTGCCCATGTTACCAGTCTGTCTATGTCTAGACAAACATTATCCCAACTAAAGTGACTTAGCTCTGTAGGGCTGCACTGTACTCCAAAGTGTCCTAAGATCTTATCACGATAAAGCATTATAACAAGGCAAATCCTACTTTCCTTAAAACCCTGTCAATCCTCTCTATTCTCTTCAGTCTCACTAGTTTTCCCTCCGCTCAGACATATGCTGACCGTGCCTGTGACAGGCAGACTGCTCTCCTACCAGTGAGGGTTGTATTGTAGCAAGTTTCACTATCAAACCCCACTCCTCGGGGCCCAGGGCCTCTTGTGGTGTTAGCGAAAAACCTGCTTTACTGTAGCACACGTCCGACATCGGAGCTCATTGGCCAGACACTGGCCTCAGCACCGGGCTTTAACTGTGTGCGCTGAGCCACGAGGGCAACTCCTACTAACTTAACAGGTTTCAATCAGACTGCTTGTCCAGCAATGACCTCCCCAGTGGCTATACTTATTACCCAGCCTTGCTCCTCCCGACCTCTGTGACCTAACTCCATATAGATCTGTCCACTGCCAGCAGGATCCTTTAAATCTCTCCATGGTCTTGCCCCAACTTTCCTCTTGGACCTCCTCAAACCCTACCAACCCACCTCCTTCTGTTCAGCAGACACTGTCCTGCTTCACAACCCCCGCCCCAACATCTGTGGTCAGGCTTTCAACGGATCTGCCCCAGTCTCTGTAATTGCATGCTCTTTGACCGTGCCTTCGGCCAACTTCCCAGCCCCCCACCCCAGGGGCGAACCCTGGTCTGTCCAGAGTCCTGGGGCATCCCCAACTGATACATCTTATGTGAGGTTTACTGTACATGTGCCTGGAGGCTGGAAGCTCACCTACCATCACTTTTCCTCTTGTATACGTATTGCTCCATTTGGAAGTCCAGGTTTGTGCTTCCCAGGTGGGTGGAAGCAGCGAGGAATTTGAGGACATCTTCCTCCTTCATCTGGAGGACATCCAGACCTCCGGACATTGTGAAGGTTTCCCTTTAAAGTAACGATGGGTAACCTGCGGGAAAACAACATGCGGTCAACATAAACCCAGCTGAAGGTACAGCTGCTAGAACGTTACAGCGCCTCACTGGGATTTGTTAGTCAATTGTAACAAAGAATGGCAAACAACTACAGCAGCCAATTTACACACAGCAATGAGAGGCTCAGGTAAGAGAAACCTCTTTTCCAATAGTGTCACAGAATTTTACAGTAAAGTGCAGTGAGTTAACATGTGGGTAAACACAGAAGCCAATTGTCTTGAAGGGAACAGGTGATTTTATCTGGGAGATTGTTGGCCAAGACACTGGGAGAGAAACTCCTTTCTCTTTTCCAACAGCACCATGGGAGACCTTTAACATCTACCTAAACAGGGCACAGACAGGGAGTGAGGATTAATGTCTCATCTGAAGGATGGAGTCAACTCCATTAGTAACTGGTCCAGATTCCAACGACTCTCCATCCCTCACTCACTGCACAAATGATATTCACAAAACTCTTCATCCCCTCACCACCACCAACCCACCCCACACACATGTGCGCGCGCAAAAGCCATGTTGAGATGACATCAAGCCGGGGGTGGGGGGGAACTCAAGCTAATTGGACAGCAACTTCAAGGTGATTTCTCAGGCGGAAGCGGGAGAAACGCCAACATCTCCCCCCACCCAAAAGCTCTCTGGACGCTATGTTGTTGCTGCTGCTGTTGTAAATATTCCCTTCAAGGCGTTTTCTCACTGGGGAATGGGGGGACAAAAACCTCCGACGTTCCCTTTAAGGGCTAAACGCCGACAGGACTTCCCCTTTAACTGCCTCCCGCCGCGCCTCCCGCCCGGGGCCCACACGCGGTCGGGCCTCACCCCCGACACCTCCTCTCCCAGTCGGAGGCCGCGCCGCACCTCCCGCCCGGAGCGCCCCGACTGAAAAATAGACGGTTCCGAGCAGTCAGGAGGCGGAGTCCACGTGGACCCGACCGCGCTGAGGCCTGAGGCCTATCCTCCCCCTCCCGCGCGGAGCAGAAAAAGACGCGCGGCTTTTGATCAATTGGTGACGCCGGGGCTTTCCTCCCTCCCCCCACCCCGGGACCGGGCCGGGACCGGGACTGGCGGCGGCTCCTCCTCTCTCCCCCCCGCCCCAGGCCTCGCGCGGCCACTGACCAGAGAACAGCGCCGTATGGAGGCCTTCGAGCAAAAGAGGCCGCGCGCAGGAAGTGACGTCCTTATATACTGCGGCGGGACCGCTCCACCAATCAGCTCACACAGAGCCCAGCGACATCCGCTTCCGGTGCCTGCTAGTGGGGGTGAGGCTGCCGGGCCAGGGGAGCTGGTTGCTAAGGGCCGTAGTTGCTAAGGGCCGTTGTTGCTAGAGAGAGCCCGAAGCAATAGTTGCTGGGGAGAGGCAGTGGCCAGTGGTTGCTAGGGAGAGGGAGGGGATGGGGTTGCTATGGAGAGGCCAGTGGTTGCTAGGGAGAGACAGGAGAGCTGGTTGCTAGGGAGAGGCTTGGCCAGTGGTTGCTAGGGACAGGCAAGGATGGGTTTGCAAAGGGGGGAGAAGCCTACGGTTGCTATGGGTTAGGGTTGTGGGGAGAAGCAGATGGCTGTGGGTGTCAGAGGGAAGCAGGGGCTCGGGAGGGCGAGGGGGAGGTAGGGGCCAGTGATGCCCAAGGGAGGAGGATCCATACTTTGGGAGGAAGGTGGAGGCAAGACCCGGTTGTCACTATGAAGCCAGCGGTTATCAATGAACCAGCTATCTGAGAGTCCTATGGGAGAACAAGGGGCCTGGGGTAGCGGGGGGTCACTTGGGGGCACAAGGCAACGGTCGATGGTTGTGAGGGGGAAATAGGGACCCGAGATGGTTAGGGGGAGGCTGGGGCCTGCAGTTGCTAGAGGAAGGTCCAGCCTCTGAGTGCAAACAGGAATCAGGGCCTTTGCATCATTAAGGATCAAGGGGCCTGTGATAGTCAAGGGAGGTGGGGCCGGGCATGAGGGTGCTGGTTCGAGGCAGAAGTCCACGGGTGCCAGGGGGAGACAAGGTCTGGTGATGGCTAGGGGGAGGCAGGGTGCCGGTAAGGGAGGGAAAGGCAGAGTTGCAGGTACTAGTTCAAGGCAGAAACCCATTGCTGGGGAGGTTTGGGAGAAGTGGGGGGACCTGCAATTGCTGGGGGTAGGTAGGGCCTGTGGTCATCAGGGAGGGGGCTGGCAATGTGGTGACTAGGGCAACCGGACCAATGGTTGCTCTTGAGGCAGGAGCTGGACAGTCGTTGCTAAGGGAGTGATGGTGGTTGCTAATGACAACAACAAGATTACATTTGTATAGCGCCTTTTACGTTGGGAGGATGTCCCAAGGCGCTGGACAGTGTACAGCATTTCAGATCCGAGCTGTGGTCAGCGGGGAGAAGGGAGGCGAGGGGAAGGGGGTGACCAATGGCATGGTTGAAGAGGAGGGTTTTGAGGCGGGACTTTAAGGCGCGAGGCGGAGTGATTGGGGATGGAGTTCCAGAGGTTGAGGGCAGAGTGGCTGAAGGCTCTCCCATCAATGTGGGGCAGGTGGGTCGGGGGATGTGGAGCAGGCTGGAGTCAGCTGAGCAGAGGGAGAGGACGGGTTGGTAGGGGATTAGGAAGTCACAGAGATAGGGTGGGCTGAGACCATTGAGGGCTTTGTAGGTGAGGATTAGAATTTTGAACTGGATCCTCTGTAGGATAGGGAGCCAATGGAGATGGGGTCACGGAGTTTGGTGCGGGAGAGTACATGGGCTGCAGAGTTCTGGATTATCTGCAGCCTGTGGAGGGAAGAGTCAGGAAGGCGTTTGCATAGTCGAGTCTGGAGGTGATGAAGGCGTGAACAAGCATTTCATCGGCCTGAGGGGTGAGGTAGTGGCAGAGTCGGGCGATGTTATGGAGGTGAGGGAAGGCAGAGTGGGTCATAGCTTGGATATGGGGAAGAAAAGACAGTTGAGGGTCGAACAAGACACCCAGGTTCCTGACTGGCGGTGAGTTGAAGTGTGCAACCGTGGAGGTTGATGCTGCCAGAGCCTGAGGTGCAGAGGCGCTGCCGTGAGCCACTCAGGAGGGCCTCAGTCTTGTTCACATTCAACTGCAGGAAATTTACCCTCATCCAGGACTTGATGTCCGACAGACAGTCTGTCAGGACAACAGGGGTCCTGGAGTTGAGAGTGGAGGCAGAAAGATAGAGTTGGGTGTCATCCGCATACATATGGAAGTTGACCCCATGTCTGCGGATGATGTCACCAAGGGGGAGCATGAAGATATTAAAGAGGAGAGGGCCAAGGACAGAGCCCTGGGGGTGGCAGATGTGATAATGCTAAGGGAAGCTGGGTGGTTCTGTGGTTGCCAGAGAAGTCACAGTTGGTCCATGTTGGTAGGGGACATCAAGGCCAATTTTCTCCAGTTGAAAGTTGACAAGACCGAGGCTCTCCTGATTCGCTTCCATCATAGCTCAGGGGCTGACAGCATCACTATCCATGGATGCACTCTTCACCTCACTGAGTACACAACCTCAGTGCCTTGTTTGATCCTCAACTGTCTTTTAAACCCCTCATTTGTGCCATGAACCGTTCTGCCTTCTCTACCCTGCCGCGGTCACTACCTCTCCGAGACACTCATCCATGCTTTCATCCTGGATTGACTCTTCTAACTCTCTGCTCACTGGACTTCCCAACTCTTCCCTCCACAAGCTGCACATTATTCAGAACTCTGGAGCTTGTGTCTCTCCTGCAAGAGGCCATGAGCCAATCACCCCCATCCTCGCCCAACTTCACTAACTCCCCATTCCCCAGAGATCAAAATCGAGTTAAAAGCCTCACACTTTTGCTGCCCTCCACGGTCTTGTCCTCCCTACCTCTGTGACCTGCTACCAATCTGTCCGCTCCCTCCGCCCTGAGCACCTCCGTCTTGTCCCCCACACTTGCCTCCTTCAAGACCTGACTCAAAACCTATTCTTTGACTGTGCCTTCAGTCCCACTTCTCCACCCCCATCCCCCATCCCCCTTGGCCCCCATCCCCCATCCCCCTTGCCCTCCACCCCTTTTGACTCCAGGCCTTAGCTTTCACTGGCTCCCAATCACCGAACGGATCGATTTCAAGATCCTCTCACTCGTTTTCAAATTCCTTCATTCCCTTGCACTTCCCTACATGTTTGATCTGCTTACTGCCCACTCAACCACCCACTGCCTCCGCCCAGGTGGCTCCAGCCTCGTTTGTCCCTCATGCCGTCCGCGCCACCATCGGTGGCCATGCTTTCAGCCACTACACTCCAAAACTCTGGCTCTCTCCCTCAATCCCTCCGCCTTGCCGCCTTCCTCCCCACTTTCAACTTCCACCTTTCTGATCGTACCTACAGCCACCTCCCCTCTCCCCCTGCGTCAGGGTCAGACTACGCCCCTGTCAAGCGTTCCGGGACGCTACTCCGTATGAAGGCGCAATATTTTTGTTGAAGGCTGTGATGATTGGCCAAGAATCTCACTGAACCAAATGCTGTAGTTGTCCTGTTGCTGACAGGACTGTTAGGGACTGTCACAGCGAGCAGGGGGCAGCACTGGCCCAGGGGATAGGGAAATGGTTCAAACTGCCAGCCACAGAGAGAGAGAATTATAATAATCCTTACGTTGTGATACAGCGCCTTATCACGTCTTCGAGACATCTCAAAGCACTTCACAGAATATACTGTAAAGTGAATTGACTATATTTGTGGGGAAAAGCGACAGCAGCGTCCTCACAAACAGTAACGATGAAGTAACGGAGAGGGCGGGTGAAGGCAGTGCAGTTGATAGAGTTTATATGGACTTTCAAATGACTTTTGATAAAGTGCCACATAAGAGACTTGTCAGCAAAATAGAAGCCCCCGGTATTAAAGGGACAGTGGCAACAACAACAACAACAACAACAAGATTCCATTTATAAAGCGCCTTTCACGTCAGGAGGACGTCCCAAGGCCCTGCACAGTTGGGTCATGACCCGAGCAGGGGGAAATGGTCAGGGTGAGGGAAGGGAGGGGAGGAGGGGGAAATGGTCAGGGTGAGGGAAGGGAGGGAGCGAGGAGGGGGGAAATGGTCAGGGTGAGGGGAGGGAAGGGAGGGAGCGAGGAGGGGGAAGAGAGTCGAGAGGGGAGCTGAAGGCTCGGTCAAAGAGAAGATGCAGCGGATACAGAACTGACTGGGAGACAGAGAGCAGAGAGCAGTGGTGAACGGTTTATTTTCTGACCTGAGGGAAGTGCAGTGGTGACCCCCAGGGGTCGGTATTGGGGCCACTGCTGTTTGTGATCTATATAAATGACTGGACTTGGGTTTAGGGAATACAATTTCAACATTTGCAGATGATACTGAGCTGGAAAAGTAGTAAACAGTGAGGAGGATAGTAACCGACTGCAAACGGACACAGACAGACTGGTAACGTGGGCAGACACGGGGCGGATGGAGTTTAATATGGAGAAATTTGAAGTGATGCATTTTGTGAGGAAGAACGAGGAGAGACAATATAAGATGATGGTATAATCTTAAAGGGGGTGAAGGAACAGAGAGACCTGGGGGGTCATATAAGTAAAACTTTGAAGGTGGCCGGACAGGGAGATACAGCTGTTGAAGGACTTCAATGATCAGGAGAGGCGAGAGAAGCCGGGATTATTCTCCTTGGAGCAGAGAAGATAAGAGGAGACTTAATAGAAGTTTTTAAAATGATGAGGGGATTCGATAAGGTGAACAAGGAGAAACTATTTCCCCTGGTGGGTGGGTCAGTAACCCGAGGGCACTGATTTAAAATAATTGTTAAAAGAAACAGAGGGGGGGGGAGGAAAAATGTTTTCACATAACGAGTTGTTGGGATCCTATTTCATAACAACTTTTAAGAGAGCAGATAATTATTTGGGGAGGGCAAGTTTGCAGGGCTATGGGGAGAGAGCGGGGAGTGGGGTTGATCAGGGCTATGGGGAGAGAGCGGGGGTGGGGTTGATCAGGGCTATGGGGAGAGCGGGGAGTGGGGTTGATCAGGGCTATGGGGAGAGAGTGGGGGAGGGGTTGATCAGGGCTATGGGGAGAGAGCGGGGGAGGGGTGGTGATCAGGGCTATGGGGAGGGGGGGGGGAGTGGGGTTGATCAGGGCTATGGGGAGAGAGCGGGGGGAGTGGGGTTGATCAGGGCTATGGGAGAGAGCGGGGGAGTGGGGTTGATCAGGGCTATGGGGAGA